CTGAATGAATATTTATAATGAACTGAATTAAGATGTAAATGAATGTATAGATCCATTAACGAAGGCTCGGTCCCTATGAAACAACAACATGTTAACGTCGGCAATTCTATTTGTAACCATAATATTGACAATCCCTGGAATAATACGTCCGTCCAGGACCCAGGTGAACATTCTTATAAGAGCTTTATATATCGCAATAAAAATGGTATTAACACAGACTAAGTTATTTGATGCTGGCATAAAACCCCGCCGTTTAATTTCTTACATTATCAAACCAACGAGCCGCATTGATTGCGTTTCAAAACGATGTTATTATAATTTAATGATTTATATATTGCAAGTATTAACTTTGTTTCTATTACTTTTACTAATCTGATACATTATTTATACAAGATATAAATATGCAACGACTTATTTGAATCAAATATTGCAAAATCATGCTTGATATTTTATTAAAATAATACTTCATTTTATCAAATAAAGTATTTTGATTAAATAACTTTTATTAATGAATCTTAAATTATAATCATTTACATAAAAGTCCAGTAATAAAACGCTGTCAGTTCAACACAAAAATAAATAATTTTAATATATAGAAAATCATCTAAATATGTACGATTTTCGTATATATATATATTTTTATTAGCATTAATGTGTTTATGGCAATCACCAGCCAGCTAATGATAAAGATGGCGACCGGGTATTTTATGCAAATTAGCTCGTGTAACATTTCATAAAAATTCGTTCCAACGTGATAATAGCCGCTATAAATTTTGCTTTACATTTTGATAGAATTTTTGACATAGGGTAGAGATGATAGCTATATTGAAGAATAAGTTATAATATGTTATGTATGTGTGAGTGTGAGTGTGGCCCGGGTAACGGTCTGAGCCGTGAGGCTGATTTATCGTGGACATCAACCGGACTATCCGATTTGCATTTAGATAGCACATCGGAGGGCGCACGCGGGGGAGGCGGCGCGGGGGAGAGGGGGAGGCGAATCGCTCTCATTATATGCTCACTCTATTACGCCTAAATGACTTTAATTGTATTCACGTCAACTGTTTTAATGGATTTTAATATTAATTCCCAATAATGAGTGATTCGATGAAAATTTATAAGATACATTTAATTATTGCAACAGTCGCGATGATTTGCTGATATTATTAGGCTATACGTCTAGCTTAAGTTTAATTTATAACACTGCATTTCGTGTAGGGTCGTTACGCAGTGGCGGGAACGCGGCGGAAGGCTGATAGCAGTGCACAGAGCTATTCAGGCTGATCGTAAATTATCGACCTCCGCAATTAGCAGGCGCCGATTTGGCGCATTATACACCTAGATATTTATTCGTAATAACGACAAATTGTATATTATAATATGCCCTTAGATGAACTTTTTTATTAAAAATCAACGTGCAGCCATTATTAAAGCACGATATACAAAAGTTTCCTATGTATGTATACTATCTACAGACCCTAGCGTCTAGGGTGAATAATATATCGTAAAATAATATTTTGCCCTTTCTATTATTGTAACAGAATATTTGTTTGGACTTTACTTAAATATGAATTTTAAAAAGAACTCACAAACATTTTAAGTTTTTTATAGCTTCGATAAAAATAACAAGATAATCTTAGTACGTACCGAGTCAAAGGTATAAAGTTACTAATTTGCAAGTTAGATGTTGACATGCAAATTTAATGGTTAAGATGAGCTTATATTAAAAGTTTTAATCAATTCTAAATTGCGATGTAAAATTTTTATTAAATAATATAAAAATGTAAAAGTTTAAACATGTTTTAAATTTAATGCAATACATTCTTGTCCTGTTTAATCTGTTACATGGAACAGATCTTATCAATCGTAACAACTTGCTAACATCGATTTATAAAAGGAAAAATGATAAGTTCTTAATTGAGAGTTATCCGTCAATATCTTCTACAATATGTAAATAGGCGTCGGAGGTAATTAAAACTTATCTCTCCCCCTGCCATCGGCCCTCGTCCTATCACTGATTGCCCCGTGAAATGATTGACATGCTGTTTTAACTCGATAATGAAAATGTTAGCCAGCAGTTAATTCGTGTTTTATTTATTGTTAACCATTACTATTTTTCATGCGGATAATTGATCGCGTTCTCACAATTGTCAGACCGCTGACGAGTTGTGTTCGAGTTTTGTAGTATTAAAAAGCTAGCGACTTTGCAAGGCGCCGCTGTCGGTTCAACATGTCGGATACTTGTTTATAAAATGTTTATTTTTTCGTTTTTCATAATTCCGTTTTAAATACACTATCTTAATACGACAAGTATTTATATTAAATCCTACCTTTTATTATGAACTGAAAGATATTTTGAATTTTTATTGAGATATTTGTCAAAACATTTACCGGCATGCTAACTAACAGTAATGATATTGACGTAACGGTATCTAAATTCCAAGGCTCACCTTTTGATAGGCTTTAAATGTTGTCTGTTTGCAAAATCACCTCTGTTCTCGGTATAGTCGTAAATTTCTAAGCTGACTGGACTAAATTACGGCGTTCTCTCAATAATATTTGTCAATTTATCTAAAATTCTTTGGTTAAACAAAGCGCTATCACAGCTGGAAGCATTAAATCACTTTTGGTTTATATCCGTGGGCAGTGTCACCGTTCTTTCGGGCATACCTAATAGCTTCGCGATTTAATTATAGTCCCGGGAGTATAGTATAATCGGTCATAAATCAATTCCTACAGATACCTGACACACAACCTGTTTCAATTCGCACGGAACAATGCATACTGCGGCCGCTCTCTGCTTTGTACGGCCGATGTCTCTCCTAATTTATATCTTCATGCTCATTTCCAACTGCATCCGAACACCAAGATATCAGCTTTATTAACTTTTTACAGCTCACCCTTTAGACTTTATTGTTATTTCTGAATTCTATTATTTATATAATTTATAGATTACCTTTCCATTGTGAAGCAGCATTTTATTCGAGATATTATCATTTTACACACAATTGATAACATTAACATTTCCATTGGAACGTTTATCTGTAACGAAGTCGATTCCTTTTTTTATTTGCACTTATTATTTCGTATTTTTTGCTTGTTATAAAATGAATTTAATTATTGCACTTAAATTTAAAGTACTTATTATTTTAAGTTACATTTTTATTAAAAGACCCCACACAAGCATTCATGTCAGAAAAATCTTAAGTAATGGAAACAACGCATCTATTATAGTATTATTTAAAGTGGGCACCGCGGGCGTTCTTTGTTGTGATCATAACTTTCTATAAGACACTATATTCCAATACCTATCAAACATGACATTTAACATAACTGAAATATTTCATTTTTATTTGTTGAGTAAAATATATTTTTCACACAAAAATTTATATATTATTGTATTTAAAAAATAGGCGCGCTTCTATGGATACGTATTTATAAAATCGTATTTAAGACAGTAGCTCGAACGCCTTAATAATAAATTCTTTTAACTTGTTTTTATTGTGGCCATATGAACGGCAGCGCTTAAGATAATTCATTTTAAAATGATCAGTGATAATCGTCTGGTAGTTTTTGTTAAGTTTACTCGCTGGTGTAATTGTGAACACAATGAGAACGTCATTGGGCTCCGATCGATACACAGCTACAGCCGACCTTTAATGTTAATATTATTATTTCCTGCCTTTGTCATTATAATTGTCGTTAAAATATATTTTGCTTATTAACTTATTATTGAGAGACACAGACATTGTTATGTTCTTTTTTAACACAATTATTATTAACTCCAAATAACTTAAATAATCAACTAGAATTAACGGTTTTAAAATAGATTAAATATAAAAACTTTTTACGCTTGATGAGCACTTTGTATTTCAATCGAAATGTCCATATACAGTTTGACAAAATGTCTGTTGACGCGGTAACAGTGGGACTATTGGTTCATGATTGTTCACCGCAGCGTTGCTCTGTGAAGGCGTCAAGCAAAATGCACACAATGCAATCACTTCATATAAAATCTTTTGAGTACCAATGATATTGAGACGTCAAGTTCTCCTGGCGTCAATCAATGGTCAACGGTTTTATAATTGTTAAGAATGAAAGCTTTTGAATTTATAAATCAAAAATTAGAATACATATACATACATGCGAAAATGAATATTCAGACTCAAAATCATTATAATCAGAATTTTGCACTTTGGAAAACCACTTGAACAATAGTTCTGAGTGTTATAGTAGTAGTTAAAAGATGGGAAACCTAACTTATTTAGTGCCTGCATTGCGTTTCCATCTTCAATCTGCGTAGGCGTAAATTTCCAAGAACACATTACTTGTCCACTGCCCATAATGCTGCCAAGAAAACAGAAGTAATAATGTTAGCCATGCTTATACGGCGAAGAACTTCGTAAATGAATCATCGCATATGCGTTCCACGTCACCAACAAAAAGAGGTTTGTCGAAAATGTCGCCCGTTGGGATGTTTGCAGCGTGAGGTTCTCTCATCCCTTATTTATTTATACTGGTATGAAGAATTTCCTTTTTTAAAGACCATAACAGCGTGCGTTTTGCGAAGGCACAATTCTAAAGAGCGCATTCTTTAATTGACGAAATGGACCAATGCTGAATTCCAGCGAAGTTCGTTAGTTATAATTTGAGAATACTAAATAGATTCATAAAGACTGTCACGTCGTGCCTGCAAAATGTACATAATGGTTAATTCCATAAACGTTGTTCAGAAACCTTGCCTTCTATTGCTGTTTTTATAAATTATTGACTAATTAGCTTCCTGTGAAAAGTATGCCACATGGATTTATTACTTATCGCAACTGCTGGGTTTTTGTAGTTTTTGACTAATTATTTTAATAAAGATTCGAAGTCAATTAATTTCTATAACAAAACTAAAGTATGTAAACTCAATAAGATACAATTATATAAATAAACAATACAATGATTGTAGTTTTGTTCATGTTGAACATAGTAATTGTTTTAATTAAATATTAATAATGAAGCAATCCAATCGCGAGCCAACGACCGGAGAGGATAAGCACGCCAGGCGGGCGCACGCAACCCTGTGAGACATGCGTGTCTCTCCGTTACGACACCTACACCAAATTTTTCCACATGCCCGAACAGCGGAGATAAGCGGCGAACAACGCCAACGTGTTATTTATTAACGAACCGAATGATCGATAGTTGGACGCGACACCGGACGTCGACTTGGACGAGCGCCTTTCGAAACACGCCGCCGCCGTCACTTCGCTCACAACTCGGTGCAAACCTCAGATAAAATTGACCCACACCTAATTAAATTCAGTAATATCATTTATCTCTTGATTTTTCTCACTTCTTTCGTAACATGTCTCGTTCGAATCTATAATGCTATATAAAGTAATTGACACTTTTATAAAATAAGATATGTTGAAACATTATTTTAATTTTAAAGTTTCGTACACCTAAAGTTATATGCGTAGCAAGAAGTCTAAGAGCTGTCTGAGAAACGACTGTAATGAATAACCGTATCGAATGCTTTGTTTGCGTAACAGTCTTCTTCAACCCTTTTGCTCTGAGCCATCCGTTCCGCTCTAACATACGTCACGTATTGGTGACAGCTGCTCGTGATACTTTCTAATCGCCCCATTCAATAGTCAAATATCCAAACAAACAGATAAGAAAGCTTTTTGCGAAACCGTAACGCAGAACAATTGACAATGACAAAAAAGACTAATCAATTTAACATTATCAAGATACTCAAAGAGACAATACTATGTCCTAATCAATCGCTCAAGCCTCGATTTAGAAAAGTCTCCTTATCTATGTATGAGTGTACATATAAATTCGTTTCTTTATTTGGTGATTAGATGCAAACTGGATGGGAAACAGATTTTCGAGGTTCATGTTCGCAGGGCAGGTTAGACCAGTCCCAATGGCCTCGCAAGGACCCCAGCAAACCTGTTAGATTCGTTGCACGATTTTTACGTGCGCACCTACCGGAATCTCATTCACGTGGTGCAGCCACACTCCGCCCGCGCCCCCAACACCCGCTGCCAGTTAACTCGTCAAATGACTTATACTTTATCCGTTTAAACGACAGCAGCTGGCTTTGTAATTTTAATGGCCAATTATATAGGCTTTATCATATTTTATTTCCCATAGTTGATGTTATCATTACGCGAAACAATGAACTGTTTGAACATTGACGTAAACTTAAAGTGTTTACTTAAATATTTGAAGTTTCATTCAGTGTTTATTTGCGGTTTATTAGAAACTATATCTAAACATAAAAATGTGAAGTAAATTTTTCAATGTTAATTTATAAATTGTAACTTATGGTGTCAATTGTTTTGACAGTTCGATCCTATGGTTTTACTGATTATTATGTATGGAACATGCATCGGTTTTTAACTTGCGGTTTTAATTAAAATAACAATAAAGAATGACCTCCTGTGATATCAACAGTTCACCAGGAACAGGAATCAGGTAGAACTACGATCCGGTCAAACTCGTCCGACGCGTGCTTCCAACACTTTTTATTTATTTGTCTGCATCGTAAGATACCGCTGGGCGTGACGTCAGACAACCTAAACTGGTTGGCGAAGGAACAGGGATTTGCCTCGTATCCTTCCGGTTCTGCGAGTGTTGCAGACCTGTTCTACATTCAGGTTTGCAGCTTCAGGCTACCCGACCTTCGTGACGTACAAACAACACCTCAAACTCTTTGAAAGTAGGCGATCTTCCGAATTAGGTTCTCCGGCATGCTTCAATGCAAAATCAGAGGCGCCAGTGCCAAAATAAGCGTGTTTTAGAACCGGCCACTTGATATGCTGACTCATCTTAGCGTGCGACAATTATTAGCGTACGTGTATACTGACGCATTATGAGCTAACGATTGCTGATGGATACCATCAAAGGTCAGTATCCGTACCAAAATGGTCACGCCTAATAACTGGTTCGTAAGATGTAGTCGGTCCAGTTGTTAAACTACAGGCTTGGGATACCAGTATTTTACGTTTACTTCATTGATAAACACACTCAATGAAAATTGGTCAAACGTGTCATACTTGACATCATCACTACAATGTTCATAATAAATCGATTAGGACTGCGTGGTTTTTTACAAAGCAACGTTGCAATAAAGTATAAAATTTTATTGATTATGCTGTATAATAATTAATGTATTTTTATTCGCAGACGTCGTAAGGAAGTAATGGAAGTGAGCGGAGAGTCTTGGCGTGCATATTACACTGGTGGACCGGAACATCCGCTCAGCGCTGCGACTTCTGCTGTACTTGGGGTCGCTGAAGACCCTCAACCCCAGTCACTCGTCACCGAGTATTACAAGCTGCCTCCGCTTGTTCAAGATGCTCATCTCAATCTACACAAGGAAGTTTGGCCGTAAGTTAAAAAATACGATGTCTGTTCAAATTATATAAAAAAATCTCATTTATTTACAAAATGCAAAACAAAAACAATTAAAGTGATTCATGAAAAGGTCAAAGTCAATTAAAAATATTAAAATCCGTATGAATAAATTATAAAACTTTATCACTAGATCCAAAGTCGATTCCGGAAAATCGCTCATCGATTCTCACGATCATACATAACGTTCGTGTATCCGAGCAATTATCATCATAATCGTCCAATATCGAAGCGTATTGAATACGGAATGAATTCGCGTAAAATTTATATGTAAACTATGATAATATCCAATCTTTATTATTTTTTGTTACATCGCAGTTACTGCAGGGTTAGTGTGTTGCCGAGTCTCACGGCCGAGTACACATAGACAGAGGCCGCGTGGCTTCCGCCCCAAAGAAAGGTGTAAGAATAACAAATAATAAAAATGTTAATGTTCCACTCAATAAATCATAGGTCCTCATTTGAATACATATAGTGGGATTATCGAAATAAGAGTTCGCAAATGTAAAGACGGTCTTGCTCCCGCTCCTGTATATATATCATTAAAATTTGCATATTTTTGCATTTCGATTGCAGATTCTTGAAAAAAGTCGTTACGGAATGATTGTGTCTTTGAATTATTGGTTTGTAGTCTTGGCGCCATATGGACTTTTTTCTTAAATTGTTTATATTACATTAATCATGTCATGACTATTATGATTTCAATTCAATATATGTATGTAAATAAAATTGATTAATCTTCATAAATTAGACTTGGTTATGTATGTCAATACTATGCGTATTTTATATTTACACGTCAAATATATCAAGTTAACATGCTACAAGTGTAAACTACTGGAAAAATTGAAATAAGTTAAAGCATTTAACCGTCTGTGTTCCCATAGAAATGTGACCCCGATCAAATTATACTCGCTCTTTGAAAGTGGTTGTTAACAGCATCCTTTGAATGGCATCAAAATGAGCAAACGCCGTGTCACATTTTTACTATAAAGACTGCATTATAATAACTTCACACTCAAAGCTACTTGTTATTATGAAGATTTTATTATACTTCATAAACACATTTTATAGTGATAATGAATCTGGTTTAATTCATGAAAATGTTAAATATGTTACCGGTTTATGGCTTTCGCTGTAGAAACGGTCTATTTTGCTATGGACATTTTTATGGGGAAAATAACAGCAGCATGATAATAAAAATGGACGCCAACGCTCTACAGAACATACATATGTCTATTATTATCTTACATGCGGCTTTATATTAAGATACCGTTTCTGACATTAACGTCTGTCATTCATTGGTGTATTTTTCCATAACTCTATATCTATATTCAAGTAATATTTTGTAATGTCACGCTGGTCATAGTTTTCGGGAGTGTATACACAAACAGTGACAATAGACGGATGTGGAAGCCGCTCACATTGACAAGGACGGCGAGGACTTGTCTCGGCACTCTGGTTGCATTGTCGGCACGCGTCCCACGCGTCGAACGTGTGCTGCTATTTCTCATTCATACATTCAAAATTATAACGAATATTCCAAGTCGCCCGCACCCATCCGTGAGTGGTGTCGCTCGCGTTTGTATGCTAATCCAATATATAGTTCAGTGTCATATCATCGTCAGTATCTGAGCGTTGTGTTTGTTGTCTAAATCGCTCGTAATATTTGAATTGAATGCGAGATAGATGTAGAAATTAACTAGTTCAGTCTCTATATTATGTTACTTCCAATTCGTAGGCGTAAACATGTTTCGTAAACGCATTGCGTAGAGCGCGGGCGCAGCACGCCATCTGTATCTAGGATATCTGAAATTATAGGCACTAAATGAAAAGATAGAAATAGCTATTAATAGTTGTCAACAGCTTTCGAGTGTTAATATTGAAAATTAGCATAGAAACTCGCATCGGGATGTCTCTGGGCTTCGACCTCACGACCCTGTCACAACAAACTTGCATTAACGGGAAATCATTTTCTTATTGAGTATCCATTTTATTAATAAACTGAAAACAACATAATGAAATTGATTTCAACACTTTTATATCACGACATTTTAGTGTTATCTATTTTGTATTTCAAAATTTTATAGTTGGTTACATCAAATAAAATAAAATATTTAGCAAAAACTTTGTAGCTGTTACCGTGTGACCCATTTAGGACAGGAACCGGTTTCCTCTTGAAGATATATCTGCATTGTTACTAGCACAACAGTTAATACCATTCAGTTCCCCTGGATACACCCGACCCTCTTATAAATATAATAAATAAAAAGACAGTCTTCGTTATGGCCTCGAATATGGTATCTATCACGTAGCGAAAATTTAAAATCGGGGCTTGACCATTCCTCTTGACCATCCTTTATCTTCGGATAATCCTATTCAAATGATCACAAGTAAAAATTACAATTAATAGCCGTTGCGAATTATTACCATGAAGGTTGTGAGACTTTACGATTAAAATTAAACTATAAATTGTTTATTTAGTCTTAAAGTTTGAGGCGTGATCATTAAAGAGTTTATTTTAATGGGTGGGACAAGTGACGAAATCGTTTTCAATTAAAGTTTTTGATAATGTATTAGTTCCGTGAGAAAAGTGGCAATAAACCTACATTGGAACGAATGATATATTCAAATAGAATGGTATAACGTTTCTCACATCCGTTGCATGCGCCTTCTTCATCTCGCTTTAATGCCCAATAGATTATAATCTATTCGTCAAACGCTGTATAAACTGTCGTCGCCTTTGATTTTAATCATGATAGCGCAACCCGAGTTTAACTTCTTATCTGTGGAATAAGAAATAATTATTTATTTAAGATTTTATCTCAATCCCATTGCACAGTAAGTAGATGCACAGTGCGCGTGGTTACTGCTGTTTGTACCAACCTGAATATTCTAGACATTGAACCTGTAAATGTAATAAAACCTTTTGCATTTATGTTGTAACTGTACCTATCATAGAATCTGCTATTTTTAATCCATTCGTGTAATTCTTATTAACGTAAAATTTCTAGGATTTAATATTTTTGTTTTACTATAATTATAAAGTTAATGTTGTTAGTGTTTGCTTGTACTATATACGTTATTGAAAAGAGTTCCGATATTTTTTAAGAACAGGGCACCCCAAGTGTTGCATTGTCGATATCTCGTCAAGTGTGAAAGGGTGTTAAGTAAACATTGCAAATTATTATAAAGAGATTGCAACATAGACATACGACTGCTCACCTATAATGTATGCAGCCATAGAAATAGTGCATTTGTATGCAAAATGATTTCGGATGCTTATAATGAATCTTATTCTGCGTTTGCTACTGCAACTGTTATGGTAATTGAGGGCAACATGACACCGATATCAGATTAATTATAGATGTTTGGGAACCAGAAGTTTTAATTTAACCGTCATAATATCTGGAATACTAAGAAAATATTTAATTTAAAGCAAATTATAACGTGACGATTATAACTGTAAGTTGTAAATATAAAATAATTAATATAATTTTGGTTTATAACAAAATTATTCATGCAACAAGACTAAAATTAAAAAGAAATCTGTTTTCAAAGTTTTATTCCTATCAATACTATAATGACTGGTATGAATGGGCGGGCTTTTTAAAAACGCCAATAAGTAAAGTCAGCTGTTAGTTGAACATTGCTCCAGGCGCGTACAAAGCAACGACAAGTAAACAACTCATTGTGTTCAACACATGAATAACGATATCTGTTCAACCTCGCCGCTGGCATATCGTTCTCGGATTAGCGCGAACTTAATTTGCATGTTTACTGAAATTCTATAACCCTTGCTGATGTATGTTTTGATAGAATCTTTTTTTTATTTTATTTTAAATAAAATTATTAAAAAAATCATAAATAACGCAGCAACGATAATTAGTTTCTGTCAGTTTTCTCAATATGGTTTTTAATATTGTCATTTCCACTTTGCTCACTTTAGAAGTATTTTTTTTCTGTTGATATATCTTATCTCACAGATGAATTTATCTACAACGTATCCTTTTTGCATATTGCACATATAAATCGTGTAGAATAAGTAATGTGAGAAATGCAATCGGACACGGACGAGGATGGAGCTTGCGGGAGGTCGAGAGTGTTGGCCAAATCGGACGCATGAAATAGTGCCACGAGAGGTTCTTATCTAAAATAAACATCTGAGCGCCGATGAAACACGTCTTCAATTATCATAAATCGGCGCGCACTGACATCGCGAGAGAACCGCTCTCCGCACACGAGGTGCCTGCCCTCACATGCGAACAAATCAAATATATTTAATGTGCCTGTCTTTACGGTATTTGTAATAGACTTAAACGATCACTAGATATTTTTTTTTGGATTTATGATTATTATATGAGGGAAAGAGTAGTTTAATTTGTGTTTATAAATTGCTTTAAACGCCTCGAGGCTAAATTCTTATGATGTTGAGTCTTGTTGTTAATTAAAAAGCTAAATCGTCGGGTAATAAACGACGAGCTTCTGAGTTCATCTCAGAGTTTAAGAAATTATAAAACCCACCTGGAGCGGTACTGACATCAAAAGTGACTAAAATGGTCCACGCGTTGCTAAATCATTGGGGTGAGTGAATATAAAGAAACTACGAGCGGGGACCATTGTGAATCACTTGGAGAAGTTCATCTTTATAGTATTAGTTAAAAAAAGTTAAATATAAAATGAAACGTCCTTAACTTTTAATATTTAAACATAACTTAGTTATAATTTTAATTCTGCTATTTATATAATTTTTTGTAAGTACCTACAGATTGGTTCGTGTGTAGGTACGAGTAGGTATGTGTCGAAGAAACGATTATTTAAAAAAAAACTTTTCATTATTTTCATACCTCCAAATTCTGCATAGATTTTCCATTTACAAATTATGAAGAATATAATTATAAAAAAATAAAAGATACACGACTGAGCTGTAATACCAAATGCACCAAGGGCATTAAGCATTATTTTATATTTTTTGGTCCCATTTTTGTCATCTAAGGCAGGTACATACATAGGTTTTAGGCTACCTATTTATTTGTTTGACAGTAGAGATAGTAGACAGGTAGGTATTTTTAAAATATATCAACAAAATATAGGTAGGTATATACTCTTACATACTGTATTTCTTTAATTTCTTATCTTGAGATAGTGAAATGACATGTATTTATTAATATAAAAAATAGTTGGTGCATCCAGGTTCCAATTATTTATTATAGGATTCTAAAATTTTAGTTCGAATAATATTTTAATTTGATTTTTTTGCCTTTTTCATGATCGCTTTTATTTCTCTATAACAAAATGAATTATATTTTTTTTTGTGTTTTAAATTTATTTCTGTTTTCGTTTCGTTTTTTGCATGTTGTAAATATTATATTAACAAAGTAAAGTATTCGTATTTACGATAAAGTATAAACGTTATTTTTATAGCTTCATAATGATAAGTGATGTATTATTGAATCATGTTTATTAAACGTGATAGAGTTAGTAAACCTTCTACTGTATCTGTATTAAAAGGGTGTAAATACATAAATAGAGATCACATTATTTTCATAACAGTTTTATTATTATTTAATGTTGTTTTATAAAAGACATAATGAAGTTGTTTAATATATTTTTGTTTACGATCTTGTATAATGCAAAAATTATAAAGTAGCGACTTTACGCGCGCACGATGAGTTCGCTGTTAGAAATAGCTGCGCGCGCGCATCGTCGCCAATCACACGTGTCTCCCCTCCGCAGGGCCGGCGGAGGCCTGAAGGCGGCCAATGGCGGTCACGGGGCGGAGCTGGGTGAACTGACGGGCCTCCTGCACGCGGGCCTCGTGAAGCGCGAGCCCGAGGACCTCAGCCGTAAGGTGGTCGAGGAGCCCGAGCACGCGCTCAAGCCGCCGCGACACAAGGTGCGTCACACGTCCGTACGCCGCCGTCGCGCGCGCACGCACTTACACACTCTCCTTACCGGTTATTCATGTATTATTTATCGCGGTTTGTGTACGATGTGCCGAGCACCTCGCTCGAGACTCACTAACCGCGCCCGCCCGCGCCCTAACACGGCCGGCCAGCGCTGCCCGCCCACTGCATGCTCTCCTATATGATTTAGGATATATCGACATTATCAGGATTTTATGTACTTGTAACGTGACCGTGTTATAAACAAAACAAACTAGTGTTCGTGAACCAGTGACTGTGTTCGACGCGGCATGTACGCGTCGACTTTACGAAGCGGACAATTGTCGTGGGAGAACGCGTGTAACAGGCGCGTGTGTCCGCAGGTGGCGGTCGGCGAGCCCGGTGAGGCGGCGTCGCCCTCTCCTGTACCCTCGCGAGCCTCCTCAGCAGGCTCACTTCTTCCAGACGCCGCTACTATGTACGCTGCGCAAATGTTTGCGCCCCCAGGCACTCCCAGTCCTACGCCCTATGGCGAGCAATATCCGCGCCAGACGACGACGTTCGCTGGCGAGCCCTACTACAGAGAATATTTCATCGGTGATGGTTATCAGCAAAGAGCGGCACCGCCGTACAGTGACACGGAATCAGCATCGGCATCGGCATTCGGCGATCGATATTCGGCGCCACGTTATCACAGCAAGAGCGTGATAGCGGCCGCGGGGCTTACCGTCGACCTCCCGTCCCCCGACAGCGGCATCGGCGCTGACGCCGTCACTCCTCGAGACCACACAGCGGTCCAGCAGGTCGGTCTTACGGGAGACAAGGGCGCGGGCGGGCCGGCTTCATACTACATTGTACTTAAACTAGCACACACCAAGTGACACGATCCTCTCTTATGTATATGTGACCATTACACAAACATGCCATCCTCGATATCTTCCATAACAGCTTATATTGTACATATTCCTGAATGGTGCATTTTACCGTTCAGGAATGTGTATGGCTTACATAATACGCTATCACAATATTGCTGGAAACATTAATTTCGTCTAATTTACAATCAATTCCAACTGAAGCCCTCCCGCGCTCTATATATTCTAATTTTAATTAATTTCCATTATAAATATACGTAATGTGGCCATGACGACAACATGAAAAGTATTTAATGATATAGAGAATTTATAGAAATAGTTTATCATCGACATCAAATAATATATTCAAATTCTCAAAAATTTTCAGTATATTTTAGGAATTCGATCAATTAATTCTAATAAGATCATTAGTTGAAATAAACGTTCTAAATGACTCACATTACTGTATCTAATGATTCGTTTACTATTAATGTAGTTGTTAAAAAAGTCTGAATTTATTATGTACATAATGTAACAACAATGTTCGTTACACAACAAAAGACTTATGTTAGAACGTTTGTAATATGGAAATATGCATTTTTTAAATAACAAATTGACATGACTTATGTATAATGATTATTAGGACTAAGTGTATTTGAAGGACTTGTCACTCCTAGGTGCGGCGCTCACGAGCTGGGCACGATGTCGATCTTATTATTTTCTATGTCGTAACAACAAACGCATAATAAATCAACATTTTTCATATAAAATTTATATTCGTAGACGAACACTTGGACATTTAATGGAAATGTATCGCTAATTCGAAACAGTGATGCACATGTTTATTTGAAAAATACACTAAAAAAACTTAAAAAAAATCAACTCGTGATTTAGTATGTATTTTTAATTTTGCCTATACCAATTTACATAAATTAGTGTCAATTTATATGAAATTTATGTTATATGTAACTAAAATAATGTTATAAAGGTGTCCCATCTATCAACTGGTTAGTGAGTTTCGTATATAATTTAAAGGGTGAGAATACTAGGCTCTATATCTATAGTTTTTTGTGATAAATTACTCAGATTATCTAATATTTCGTAACCCTTGTTTGGTTTTCATTAGAGCATAACCAATTATAAAACGCGTGCACGTACAAACCAATACAGAAACATCGGAATTATTCCGATCATAATATTTTTTTTTGCATCGTATATTTATACTTTTTGTTACTCAATATTACCTTTTCATCTGTAAACAAAATATTTTCGCGTTAGCAACTTATAATGACAGTGACAGGTTTAAAAAAAATTGTAAAAAAGTCAAGGTTGTAGCCATTACAAAAACAATACATTGAAAACGTATATATGTCTTAATTTATTTTATTTTATATGTGATTGTTAACATTTAAATTATCTAACTTAACATCCCACGCTACGCTAAACATTGTGTAGATGCATATTAATATGCGAATAAAATGCAAAGCCGATTAAATGTGTAAATAACTAAAATGTTTTACTTTATATCTATCGTCTTAAAAACTGTGAACATGTTAGCGCCATTGTCGTAATTTATTTCATGAATATTTTTTTATTCCAACCAAATAATAATTAAAACTAATAGTATGTTTCCAACGTTTCGCTTCCTCAGTTTTTGCGGAACGAATATAAACCTCTCAAGCTCATTATGTTAATTATGCAAAGTCCGAATACATGGTTTTGGTAGTGACCTCTAAAAATTAGGAAAATATCTTTAATTTTAATTTGTTGTATAATAATATAACAATTTATTAATTTAAAATAAATAGTTATTGGTATAAACGAGTTAGTTGCCTAAATTATTATTTTTAATATATACTAAGATTCGGTTTATCTATTGAGGCAATTCGATATAACTTTTATTTTTTGTTAAAAACCCGATACTCGTTAGGTTTTACTAATTTGTCATGTCAATTTGTTTGTTGTGTAACCAGAGATATCAATGCAGATTTCTTTAAATGCAATATCGAAAACCTAATTGACTGATATCAAATAATATTTTATATCTTAAAAACTTATAAGTAGGTATCATGCCATTGTTATTGTTATGATTCATTCTAAATGTTCTAATAAGCGATAGTTGTTGATATTTCCACTTTCCAATAAGATCGTATACCAACAGTCGTTCGAGTACACGGTGATCTGCCAGCAGCCCGTGGGCGAGGACGGCCGGGGAACCCCCGCGGCTCATCACTCTCCCGTACAGCCTCCGAGGACACGTCCCTGGCACGACTTCGGAAGACAAAACGACGCTGATAAGATACAGATCGCCAAATCGTAAGTATTAACTACATATGTAACATTTGAAACCTAGGAACTAACCCAAACATTTGGAAACTAGGAACTATTTTTTGTTTCATCTGTGAACGAGAGCGTAAATTTTCAGACTGCTTACACAGAACGTTTTACATAAGAAATTAAAATCATAATAAATAGTATGTATAACCATAGCTTATCGTAATAAATTTGCTAAATAAACAACAGATCTAAAGGATATCTGTCCATTTAGAAAGCAAATAAAATACTTTAAAGAAATAGATGATAAAATTAAAAACATTTCTATTAATCGTTTCCTTGTACCGATGTGTGTCGCGTGAGTGTAAATGAGTGGAAACAACCTACATCCCGTGTAACTATATTGACGTACCGTTTAACACCTACCAAAAAACTTATAGGGCCTTTCTTGAATAATATTTATTCTTAACGAAGAATTATAAATCTACTTCAAAATCATACGAATCCAATATATTTTTACATTAAAAAAATATAGTCAATAATTGAGTTTTTGCTTTAACGTAATGTAATAAAAAATAAATTTAACGCAATTCCGTAATTACGTTTGTCTATACGCGAGACCGTTGTTTTTATTAACATCAGTTGGTATTATTTATAAAAAAAACTAAACTTTGATAAATGTGAGAATGAATATAATTTTTCTTAGATGAAGTAGCACCACCCTACATAGTCGAAGTATGCGAGGTGCTAACTTAAACTTCGTGATCGTTGAATGAACTGAAAGTGTGTGTTAATTGGCAATTTCCTATTTTTCTCTCTCTTAATTGTCTTGTAACAAGTTAATTTTGGTCAAGTGAGTTAATAACTGGAAATAAACTTATCGACCTCAAAACCTCTCACTAGCTGTAAAGTAAAAGATTTCATTGATTTTATTTGATGATTCAATTTTATATTGTTTTAAATTCATAAAAACATATATTTATAGCAAACATAATTTCCGGTTTGAACAAATTATCTCGGTATTTAAAATTCATATTTATCACCTTCGAGCGTAAACATCTTTTTTTTTCACATTCAGAAAAATTGATAACATACTAAATGTCTTCCGGATTCCTGATTTAATGGTAATATGTACTTTGTACCGCGAACGAATATGTAAATTTGAACGTTACGAACCCATATATAGAGCACAAAATCTATTGATTGCTTGTTAAATGTTTTACCGACTCGTGATATTTAGACTATTATAGGAATTCAGTAATGAACATTTCGCACGCACTTTATTAGGTAACTACTTACTGAATAATGAAAATTAATTAATTATTTACGTTATTTTATTTCCACGCTACACGGAGAATGATGTAAAAACGTAAGTATAAAAGTTTTTTTTCATTGTAAAAATAAATAAAAACGATTATTTCTAACGTCAAACGTGTAAAAGAATTCGTATTGAATGACAATACGCATGTATTTAGGAGTTAAATTTTACTTAACCAATCTACTGGCTGTCTCGAAGCGGCGGAAGCAGACGTCAACATGATAAGTACATTAGCATTATTATCTCGATAATTACTCGCTTGCATTTGCCCCAAATGAGTCGGTCGCTTCTATGTATTACGACGTGGTGATACAGACTCCCTCTATTACCATTGCGTTAGATAGAAGCCCACAAATATTTATTCTATTATTTAACGCTCATTATGGACCATTTAAGCCCATAACCAGTCCGGTCAGCTCTGTATGTTGCCCTCGATAGCTTTTTAAAGTCGGTTCATAACTTAATCGGTTAATATATACATATATGATTAACACTCCGATAATACACGAAGTAGGCATAATGGATACCATTTTCCACCTTCCACATCCTCTGATCGAGGTTTACAGTTAATACCTACTTGACATCACTATATTATTTAAATCGCTTCATGGATATATGTTAATTGATCCATTGAATATATATTACAATATTATAACTTTATTAATTTTATTATTCATATCTTACGCGACCTAACATTGTAAGTTGAACAGTTTATAGAAATATTACATTAATTAAAAGTTACTTTATTGTACATTGTTGTGAACGGGTAAACTGTTAAGTGGGATGCGAGGTGAAAATAATAGTGGTGTATCAGAAGCGATGTCTGTGAGACTGGCGGCGGGTCCAGTAATCAGCGTGGAACCATTAAACACCCTAATCGTTTTCATTAGCTCGCAACAGCCGCAGAACAACCTGGCATCATGAGCACAGTCTAATCACGTTATAATTCCAACTAGAAACGACAGCATTCATTACTGATACACACGATATATCGATATGATGTTTAACTATTCATATGCTGTTTTATGGAAAATTAAGATCGAATCATTTGTATAATATAAAATAAATGAATTCCAGAATATTTTTATACGTTTACGGTGTTCTCTCAATACAGTATTTTCCATCAGTGTTGGCATTCGTGTCAGCCACACAATGGACTCTCAATTTACATCAGCGATTGATGCGATGGACATGCGAGCACATTTCTCCCTATATAGTGTTAAAACCATTTATTTTCCCTTTAAATTATAATGGTTAACCATCAACTTAAAGGATTCACATTAATTTGCAATTGATACATAAAAAAAACAGTATTTTTCGGTGAATATGTAAATATTGAAATAGTCGACATTTATTTTATTGCTAACATTAACATTTTAATATCTTCGACTTCGCTATCAAACAAATGGCTTATAATCATTTTTCAATTAAATATTAGGATTATAAATTTTTATACCATTAGTTAAAAAAACCAACGAATATTTTATTTTTGCATATTATGTAATGTTTCTTGTTTGCGATAGAGTAATCATTGAGTATACAAAGGTATGCTGTTAGTAATAGTATTGTAAGTATAATCGGTTAAGATATATGTGCATCTAATTTGGCAGAGCAGAGTGTCTCCACGGGACGTCGCTGGCCAGTCTGTTATCGCATTGCGTTTTTATTGCTACCACTTTGTTGTTGCTACGTTCCGAGCCTTTTTGTGCGCTCATCAATTTCCGCGCCTCACCAATTGATTTATTCATGAAAGATGGCCGTCTTCACGCAGGAAGTGAGTTTTTTCGGACGCTTCGCTACTGAAATTTGTAATGAAGCTCATTCGAAAACAATACGTTGTTTATTATTGTATGAGCTCGCAGTATATTCAAGGTGACAAAATAACCGCTTGTTTTCTCAACATCTCAAGGATCTCAGATCAGTAAGAGTTGATACGAAACAACAGAAAAACATGTGCCCTTTTAAAAAAATACAGAATCACAAAATATACTATGTCCAGTATTCATTCAATAAAACTGCTTAGGTTAGTTGAAAAACCTGCTTTTTATATATAGAATTTTGTAACGTTGCTCAATATGTAGTATTTTTTTAAAATATTCTTAATGTTTAATAAAAATGCCATGGTTACATTATGGTTTATTTTAAGCAATAACTTGTTACAATTAATGTAAAGGCTTGCTTAACAAGCTACATTGATATTGTTAAAATGACAATACAAAGCCTCGTCACAAATGGAAATTGCATTTGAAATAACTTTGAGAGAATCAGATAGGCGAGAACCGCTGCGACCGATCCGTCAATGTCGGCCTGTGTTTGCATTACACGGCCTTTTATCTGGCCATGCTCGCTTAAATCGCTAACATCAGCGGTGCTGTTTACCAAATTGTTTTCAATAAGCTTTAAGTAATGGTTTGCAACTTAAACGCAACATCTCAGCTAAACATCGTTTACTGGATGTATTTCCTTTAAAGATTTATTGACAGATTAAATATTTTGTTACAATTTATGGCTTTTTATCATGTTACATAACTAAGGTGTACAATGGAGAGTCCTGATAATGACGTTTGCTATTTCCCAGTTGAATGTCCGTGAGGTTGTAGGGATTTATGCGGCGTGGGCAGAGATCTGCGACAAGGCGGAGGCTGAAGAGGGGCGTAAAATCTTGTAGAAGTGTCGCAAGCCTCACGAGTGCATTTAACGAGCTCCAGCACGCGATGCAAATAGCTAAATTAGCTGGGTTTTCCTTCCGTTGATTCCAAGCTCAGGAAATCGCGAGAAAACGTAGTTTTTCATTACTCACCGCGAACTAGATCTCCACACCTTTATGTAACGACATCTGTGACAAGCTTACTGACTGTGCAATTAAGATTTCCACTTTTTGCTCACTTTTATTGCTTGACTTCATGGAAATTACTGTCGCAAGTATATATCTGTAGATAAGAATCTCAGAGAAGAAATCACACTTTTTCTAAATTGTCAAAAACGAGATGTTATGCGGTTAAGACGACACGGTGTAAGAGTGAAACACTTCACGTAATGCCTTTCTACTACAATTACTTGACAAAAAAATAAGCATATAATATCATAATGATCTGTTGTTCTAGCAAAAATTAAGTGATATATATATGTATACCCATTAAAAATTAAAATTTAAACAATGGCAGGCAAAACTTAAACGTTAAAAAAGTGTTATTTTAACATGGTATGCAAACATATAATTGATATTAAAATTTTTTTTGCAGATTTTCACCTTATGGGTTTAAATATCACTTAGAGACGGCAAGTAGCAGTTCACAGCGGCGTGAAGATGACCGCATCACATACATTAACAAAGGACAGTTCTATGGCATCACGTTAGAATATGTCCACGATCCAGACAAGCCACTCAAGAACCAGCCAGTGAAGGTGAGTAAAAAGTATCAATAACATAAATGTATCTAACCATTTATAACTTTATATATGTAAACCTTTTTTGGGATATTATAATGCGTAGCAAAAAACCTGAGTGTGCGTTTCCATTAAAATACTGTAACTTTTCCTTGTTAGCTTTCTTACATAGAAACAAACTGCACCATCTAGTATACTTGTTCAATTTCTGTTTAGTACTTAGAAGTTTATTATTGACAAATTATTATTTTTTAAATATCTTATATAAAACAGTAATTTCATATCCTTCGTAATTTTGGATACTTTTCATAGCGTCACTTCTACATATAATAACAACTTGTGATAAAGGAAGTTTTTTATTTATTTTAAGTCTCTATTAATTCAAAGTTAACAAGTTTAATTCAATTTTATCTAAATTTAGGAATACTTTTGTCAATGGTTTCAATTCATATGGCTTGTAATGAAACTTTTTAAATAGATAGAAGGTAGCAAGTATTGGAATGAGAATATTAATTATTTGTAAACGCATAGGGACAACGGATTCGTAGTTATTTGATTTACCTGCAGCGAGCATTCTGTTAACGGTTAGGGCCGGATGTTTATTTCTCTCGGACCTTAGAAAGCTTAACCGCGTACTTTAGTGGCATATGTAATCGTAAAACATGCATTCTCGTAACATCTCTATTCAATTTGTATTTCCAATCTACTTAGCGTAAAGTATGCGTGTTTATTGCAACGCACAATCTCTTCAATTCTTAATATCTGTTATTGAATATGTTAATGTTTTTATAGCGAGTGTTATCCTCTGTTGGTTGCTCGTGACCGCAGGATCCTGGCTTGGTTTTTATTTCACACAGCTCCCGGTTAATATTTCATGTTCACCTTCATTAAGAACACTTTTGTAACTTTTTTTTGCTGATTGATGTCCTGTTGGAAAAAAGAAGTATATTTTATCTCATATGTTAAGTAAACATTTTTATGAGTTATTTGATGTACGCGAGTTACGATGAGTAATAAACATTTTGTGATTGAATAAAATATGAGCCTATTCTACTTAGTGCGATTTAAAAAAATCACGAGACATCTTGCGTGATACTCGTTAATTATTATATCATGAGAAAATAATAACCCAAAGAAAACAATAGACACATCATGATAAATCTAGTCCATGTTTCTTGTTGGGAAAATCGGAAATCCCCTTGGTTTATACATACGACACTTCCTTGGAAATAGTATTTAAAATGTAATTTAAAAATTCTTGAAAAACCAGAAAAACCACATCCTTTGATCAGGTTAATCTGGTTTTGATAATCACAAATATCAAAGGCATTGTTTAGAAATGGAAATTTCTGTCATGTTATGTAGCTTTTTTGCCAATTAAAAATAAATATTATTCACAGGGGAAGTAATAATTTATGAGAAAATTGCAACAAGTTTAATACTATGGACTAACATGAAAATATTTCTTATCTATATTCAATGGACTTAGATCGGAATAATCAGAAACACAATGCGACATACGTTTGAAGTTATTATTAAGGCGGTAAGTGGGCCGCGGGTCCGGAGCATTCAATAATCGGATAGATAGATATAGAGCGCTTATCTCGGCGCAATCGAGTTCGCATTGTATAGCCGCGCCCGATAATTAAGACGACGGTTTTGACATTCGCCATATAGGAACACAATGACCGCAGCGGGAGCATAGCGCGCCCAGCGGATTAAATCGATGCTCTCTTTAAACAATAACCTTACGTATTATCATATAATAATTTAAGAAAACATCGTGTTTCCATAACGAGTTCCTTCGCCTATTTTGTTTGTAAAACGAAAGTATTAACTCATTTTTAATTGTTTTAACATAAAACGATTCGTTTCGATGTTTAATAACAAATAGATTTTCATCAATAATTTTCTGAGACTTGATAGTTATCACAATAGAATATGGTTTATTTAACATTCAAAAATTGATTTCCGTACGCGATTATAAGACCAATTATGGTTATTTCTTATCCACCGTAGCTGACAGTTTAAAATTCACACGCGATGCAAATATGTTTTGCGTGTCTCAAAGCGGTTGAGGATATGAGAAAATTTTGTAAAAAGAGAGATTCGGTGTGAGAGGCGTGCATGGAGACTGTAATTACGTTCGCACCGGCTCGTTTCGGTAGAACTTTACCTTCTCGAGATATCATCGGTCTCGATTTCCTTCCAACTTGTATTGGAGATCTTGTACCTAATTAAGCAGCATCCTATACATACGTGGCGACCTCGTTCTGTTATTTATTTTAGACTTTCGCACGCTACTGTGCCACCACGTTAACATGCGTCGTTATTTGCATTTGAATTCTTCATGACAAATAGATTTTTAAGATGCTCCCTTTGTATTATAGTCAGGACAAGCAAAGGAATACTTACATTACATTACAGTCATCAATCAAGTGATATAGCAGTAATTAATCATGTTCATTGGAATATTTTGGGCATCTCAATATTTCACATTACTCGAAGGGTGGTCGCTCAAGAGCTGTTTTCTTTTTGCAATTATTCATTACTGGTTGCAAAATCATTTGTAGCTGTTAAGGAATTTAATAACTTTTACCGTAAATGCATTATTTTATAACAAAATGTTTGAAATATAAAACACAAATAAACATTTTACTTTTAATAAAACTAACAGATATAATAAAGGAAATGAGCTAAATTCTTGAGCAATAAAATGACGGTATGTTAAATGTTGGATAAAAAAGGTTTTAATTTAATCTAATCTGCATGTAAATGTCATCTGTAATTGCGAGTATATAAAAGACATCCTTTGATTACAGAAGTCTTCCGGATTGTTTACGTTTGTCGATAGTTAAGACAGTTAAGTTAAAGAAAAACAAAGATATCTTTCTAACAAACAGCGTGCCTAATAAAATCAACGAGAACTTTATTCCATACAAAGTCAACGCTATTATAGAAACCTATCTATCAACTATACAGCAATATAAATTAAAGTACATAATAATTCTTTCATGCTAAGGATATATGCATTAGATTAATAGACGGTGAGTCAATAGTGTCTATTGTAAACTAAATATAACCATAATACTTCGATTACTGTGAATTAAAATGTATCGCGAAGATCTGATGTGAATAAACGTAGACTTATACAGAGCAGTTTTTGCTCTAGTTTTTATCTTTGTTCTGACATCATTGTTGTTCACTTTCGTAGCAACGGAAACTCGAGTAACGAGATTCTCTGTTGTATTTATTATCTGCTTACAATATTTTACGGCTTTAATGATCGCTCTGATTAAAATTTTTAAGGCAATCGTTAATGTCTTTAAACGTCTTTTACATTCAACATGCAGGAATATAACGGTCGTTATCAGAACGCACAGACTACTGACGTGTTTCTTTCGGTCGAGACCGCGCCGACAAGTGAAGGGCTGTCATATGAGACATATCGAATATTTCGCACAGGGTGCATTCACATGGAATGATAAAAAAAAGGTTTCGTAATAATGGATTCCAAAAAAATATTCGCTTACAAATTAGCATACGCACGGTTGATATTTGGAAGACGCCAATCATGTTCGCAATCAATCACGCGTTGAGATGTCTCAATTTAGTTTCACCCTCATCTGCACCCCGCACCCCGCACCCCGCACCCCACACCCCGCTCTCAGTCCTGTCGCACAAAAACACTAATGATTATAAATTGCTGAATTATACAACGGAATGCTTCTGCTAACGGTGTTCCTTTGATAAAACTTAATATATTTATCTAACATTATCAATTAGTTAATATATTTTAATATTTTCCACCATTGTTAATGTTGAAATTTACAGTCACGATATGTAATTTATAATAAGAACGATATTAAGATCAAAAAACAAACAATAACTAGCAAATGATTTGACAACGTTCTTTCACATATTTTACATTTTAAGCCAATGTTCCCTCAGAGTAATGTACTTTTTATAGCTTTCTTTATTATAAAAGTAATTTAGCTGAATGAGGCTTTTTACTCTTTTTGTCCTTCCTTATATGATATTTTTTGCAAAAACACTGACAACGAAATTACTTACGGTATTTTATTTTAAAGTAACATTAATATATAATATAGATTATAGGCACTTCAAAGCCATATGTGTAGATTAGAATAAGTAAGTGCCTGCGCCGCTCGACGGAGCGTGAATTTTCCACGTTCGATTTCAGGTTCGTGTAACGTTACACGATAAATATTACGCTTTCGAAATATTACGTATTGTTCGATAATACTCACGTAATATCAACACTGATTATAAAATTGTAATTATCCTTACATCGCTAGACTTTTTCGATACAGTTTATGAATTAATATTTTTAAAGTGCAAATATAGGTAGGTACATTAGTTATTATTTTAAATAACTTTCACTCATAAATCGTTTTTAATACGATCGTGGAGTGACAGCGGGCTGAACGCAAATGGCATTACGTAATACAAAGTTCGTCATTGTTTCGATATTGAAACTGTCACAGTGCGAGTATTTAGCGTCAATCTCGATAACATCGGAGACTAGGTGATGCTGGGTCTGTTGTGAAATGACTGACACGATACAGTTAGGAATGAAACCGTCGATAAACAATGAAATTAAAAACTGAACACTGAATTAATACAAGATAAAAGTATCATATTAAAAATGTAACATATAAAAATGTAGTTCGAAGGTATAATTGTTCCGAAGTAAGCTGTAAGTACTTCGCTAAGCCACATCACACTTCGTCCGGAGCCCTGCACTTTTCAATCCGACATTTCCTTTCGACATTTGAGTAGATTAGTGTTACAACGTGTCTTAAGATGTTAATCCGACGCTCGATGGATCGGAGGAATCACTTCATTTAATCCATATTTAGCTTACTCACAGCTCCCGATGATGCAATACAACATAAAAATACATTACATATAGGTTATATCAATAACTTTATTGAATAACAATTTAATTTAATTATTTATTTCAGTTGATAATATATGTTAATTTATTATCAAAAGTATAAATTATTTTTATTATACCTACTATAGACAAAGTTTTTTTTTGTATATCAACTACTTAGTTATTGATAATATAGAGAGTATAGTCGACAACTGTCAACATTACAGCAGCTACACCCACAGTACATTGAGTGTATATTACGAAACCGACATTCACCATAAAGAACATTCGCAACAAATAATCTAGGCGTTAAAACAACTAGCACAACAACCCGCCTATTTAACAGGCAAATGTATCTGTATCAGATGTTATGTATCGGGACAGCGAGGCATTACTTTTGCGCTATCGATAAAGCTCAGTAAGCGAAATAGTTATGTTAGCAGTACGCATAAATAATTGTCATAAAGCTGATACGGCTGATGGATAAACGTTCAGTACTAACGAGGAAGCAGTCGACAATAGTGAAGTCCAACGAGAGATAGATTGAATCGCGTCGTTGCATGATATTCAGTAAGTCATGCGTTAGCGTAATCGTCTCGGTATACATACGATATGATGTAGTAAAATACTTCGTTACGCTACATTTTTTTGCTTCTCCGTAATAATAAACATACACTCGTAACAATTTTAATTATTCGTAAGATTATAACATTTTAATTACGTTAGCTAAGTTTACGCTTTGATGGTTTGTTCAAACTTTACCTACGGGTTGCGAACTTTAGACCTTTAGTCGTTTAATGTTAAATAATTAACTAATCATAATTATTGCTCAAGTATTTGCATGTTGCAATCGTATTAGCATACTATTAGTTAATATATTATAGTAATAAAATATATATTACATACACGAAAAGATATTAATGTGCATATGTATGACAACACATGGCGCGGGCGCATGCGAGAGAAAGCGTGCTTAATCAGATAACTCAGATTGTCAACCGAAGTCGGGCTCCTGAAATCGGGTCGAATGTCGATAGTCGATATACTCGATTAATTAATTGACGGCCCGAACCCTGAGAGGTAACTGGTCCGAAAATCGATACATTGTGAAACAACCGCCTTATTCTTTGTACCAAAACAATTATAAATTCTAACTAGAAAATACATTTATATAATAATTCGTAATTGTAACGCGCTGTGATATATTTTCATCTGACATTAATTATTATTTTGATATCAATTATATTTTGTTGTTCCAGATATAATATCGTAATTGTTACCTAATTCAAACATTTTAGATCGTTGATTATAGCAATGTATCTTTGTCAAGCTACAATAGCCGCATTGTTCACTATCAATCGCAACTTTAAAATAGACACTAAATTACGTAAACCATTACCGGCTCGGAAATAAATTAGTTGCTAAGTGTTTATGAATCACTAATTCACTGTTAATAATTATAATGTACCTAAAAATGTATAATGCTAATAGGATCGATTGGCCCATTGATATATTATCATTAATAAAAATTCGTGTAATAATAACTCATCGTCAAAGTATTACTAAATAATAATATATCGTATAATATGTCTATTACTTGAACGTTTACAGTTAGTTTGCCATGCCTTTTTATTTATGAAAATAACTTTGACCGTCATAAGAATTCTAATAAAACTGTAAATATTTATTAATATCTATGTGACGCGAAGGTAGAGGCGGAATACACCGTTACAATTTTATACATGGTCTATCTATTAGTATGCGTGGTTCCGTTGAGTTTACGCGTCGCCCGATCCGCGGAGAAAGCCAGTGTCCCCCTTATAGAAACTCAGACCTATCCGCTGGCACAAATTACTCATAAATACATCCATTCTCATTAAAACATTGTATTTATTAGCCGTAACACTGGATCTGAGAGTCCTCGCGATGTATAATTGCGACTACGGGTAATGGTCGATTTCTACGCTGATTCCAAATATTTATGTATCTTTTCACTATCTTGCATACATATAAATGATAAGGAGTCGCTTTTAGTCGTAGCGTGTCCTCGACCAGAGATAATGTATATGAAGGGATTGTACGTAAATCGTTTTGATAGCAGAGGACCGGGGCGCGGTCGGCCGTCGATGAAGGAACGTCTCGCCGATGCATCAATCAGAGACGACGATCGGAGGTGCTTTCTCGTCGTTAGCCCTATATGGCCAGGCTGGCACCACGCCTGGCATAAACCATTTCTTTTTCACTTCATTTTCTAACCTGTCTATAGAAATCGTTCTAACAGCATATTTCACCGAGCGTCTTACGGATACCATACAAATGTTTCGTGTGACTTTTGTAACACTATATGGGTAAAACTTCTATAATTAATATAATTAACTGGCAGTCTCAGTTACGCCACTCGGAAACGATTTTTATTATCTTCGAACGAATGTTAAATTTTTTCCCACCATATGATAATATTAAAAACATAAATTAATAAAACAGGTTTAATCTCTAGCGATTGATTCGCAATGAACTCTAAAGTATTTTTTTTTTTTTTGCAGAGCGTTGTTATGCTTATGTTCCGGGAAGAAAAATCACCGGAAGATGAAATTAAGGCATGGCAGTTCTGGCACGGTAGACAACATTCAGTCAAGCAAAGGATATTAGACGCCGGTAAGTTTATAATTACAAATTGAATGCTGTTAAAGCAATTGTTATAGCAAGTTAACTTAATGGCCGCAAAAAGAGCGATCTGCAAGGAGTTATTGGTGCGACGGTAGCTAATACGGGGTTGGATCATTGCTATATATAACCGTGGTTAGTCGTGCTCGAGGCGACACACAAACATGCATCGTTGCGTGCAGCGCAGGCGGGCGGCGCTGCGCTAGAGCACGCAGCTCCTAATTACTACGCTGCGAGGCAGATAGCCGCGGAGACGCAACTGCGCTCCGCTACCCACCATTATATGTCGTTAGGACATTTGCATAAATACTAACGTACATCCTCCGCACTCCACCTCACAACGACCTATCAATTTTTCATAAAAATAAAACATGTGGCTCCGAAGCCGACTTTACTTACACTTAATGATATCTTCGGTTGTATGTAAAGAAATTTTAATATGACTTGATTTTTACTAAATTAGAGTTATTAAATTGTTTCGAAATTCAATTCCAGGTAGTAAAGGTAAATAAAACGATATACTTAATAGAGAGTCGTGTTTATGAACTCTAGATAGAGTAACAGGAAATCGTTAAAATTCGTGAGAAATCTCCGTTCTAGTAATGACGTCGAAGCACCTGCTGGAATTGCCGGCATTAAGTTAAAATATAATAATGTTACGATCATTTTTAAAGACGTCGTAGAATTGGTTGCATGATATCTGCTGTGTTGTCTCAATTGAAAATACAAGATATAACCAAAGGCAGTATATAGACGCTCACGGACATAATTACTGATGATGATATCAGAGAGCGCGCTCATTAGCATGTTAATTGCTCGATGAGACATCGCCCCTCACCCCACTTGTTTCCCTTTTGACACCCATTCGCGCACCGTGTCTTGCTGTACAAATGCCATATTATGTATATTTAATGGCTAATTTTCACTTTAACTATCTAAAAACAGACATCATTGGTCGTGATATTTATTTAATATCACTGCTTTATAGTTACAATGTATAAAATTGCCTTTAAATAATAGACATCTTGCCTAATAAATAGAATCGTTAGATACTTATTAATCGTCTGGCATGTTTATTAATATAAACAGCGCTGATATATGACACTTTATACAATCTAACATTACTTAACTGACTCGTAGCATTTGTAATGAGTGACTCTGCGGCCACAAGCAGGGCCTATAAATTTAATCTCAAGGAAAATAAAAACATGGAAGCCATTAATTCGCGCGCCGGGCCAAGTTTAATGTCAAGGTTCTAGCTTATCTCGATGTTAGTCAAGTTTTATTTTTTACTTTGTTATGTTTGTACGATATACTAATGTCTAAACACGGAGGAATTTTACCGTCGTAGTTCTTCAGCCTTAGCGGCCAAGTATCAAAACGTACATAGTTTCTAAACGGTAAAAAACGCAACAATGGGTTGCGTTTAGACAAAACTCACAGGTCTACAGTACTGGTAAGTATAAATGACATTGTTGCTACTGACATTCGGTAGTTTCATGCGATAGAAAATATTAAAGATAAATGCAACGAACTTGGAACCAGCGTCAAGGGCGATATCGGACACCTGTGCGCGGGCGTGTGAAAGCGCAAAGGGACTTGCGGTGAGAGGCTGGGGGGAGGGCGGGAGTGCTCCTGGGCCACAGCTCGCAACGCACCTCGCTCCTACACAATAGCTTCTCCGATTACACACCATGTCTTCTTGTATCGCGTGTCCACTGGTCGTTTCAGCGCATAGCTCCTTGGTTTACCCGCTTATTACTTTTGTCAAGTTTCTTATAAGCCAAGGCTTTCGATTAATACTTGTCCTTGAAATCAATGTACTAGTAAAATGTATCAAATATATTATCTAAAAAAGTTTTTTGCATCTAGTCTTTATGTGAGCGTATTGAAGGATAAATGAAATACACTGTTCGGCAATAGGTTCCTTTAAAAATACCTTCATTAATGAAGTAGAAGAAGGCTGATTCGTTTAAAACAACACAACATTTAAGCAATACGATAAAAAATATTCATCGATGTGGTTGCGTCAGACCTATCGTACATGGGTTTAAAATGTCAATAGGCGAACAGTGACTAGAGTCGTAAATTTGTAAGAAGCTGTTAGACAATATGGTGAATGAGGGCGGGCGGCAGTCCTCCGTTGGTCGTAAACACGTCAGCGGGGCGCGCACAGATTGCACAGCGACTGATAGTGCGCCCACGCGCTCGGCCTCGCACGCTGCTATTACTCACTAACGACCACCGCCTGTCTGTTAATGCAGCCCTGGTACTCCAAATGCAATAAACAACTGTAACAAAATACAAATCAACCTTGTGACTTGTTTAAGACGGCGCGCGTTTACATTAACACCTGCAAATATCATGCACGGTATAAATAAAACGCTTCGATTGTTTTGTAAATGCTTCGGTGAACTATTATCGTACTACGCAGTTCATTGTAATAAACAATAACGTTAACCTATAATTAAATCAACAGAAGGCAATCTGCATTTATATTTACGGGAAATGCATAAAAACAATTCGCTGTTTATTTGTTGGGCAGGACTGAGTGGAATTTAGGTCCGGGCTACTAATTGCACACTCACAGATATGGAAATATAACATAGCAGTGGCCGATGAATCGATGCTATCACGTGATTATTCACGCCCCGCAAATAAATTTCCTTCGCCGATGACGTATTGTGCGTTGATATCTTAATCGAAATCTCCGCAACCATTAGTACACAGTTACCCGAGGACAAGATTAATGACAAACTGTGGTCTTGTTGCAGACACCAAGAACAGCATCGGCCTCGCTGGTTGCATAGAAGAGGTTGCTCACAACGCCATCGCCGTCTACTGGAATCCACTGGAGAGTGCAGCTAAGGTAATAAATATCAACATATTTAAAATGAACATTTAATTATAATAACGTCGTCCGTAGGCGGTTTTATAATCAATATTATAATAAGGCACTTTTCATGGAATAGAGCAAATAAATTTTAATTTATACTCAGGTGTAGCTAAAATAATAATTTAATTTGTTTTTTCTTTAATAGTCTTTCATAATTACAGTAATTAAAATTGCATAAAATTGTACATTTACAACGTAAAAAGCTTTGTGGTCAGAAACAAAGTAAAGCATTGACTCTGAATAGATAGAATATATTCGAACTATTAATATTTAATGAATTAATTTAACATAATAGGTTACAAGTAATCATATAAAAGGACATTTAAATGTTAACAACGAAACGTTTTATTTGTTTTGATAAATTATTAGTATTCTTGGGCAGACCTTTGTTTATGATAGTTTACGAACAACTTAATTCTATATATAAGTATAACATCAAGAATTTAAGTGGACAGCATAAAGGCTATTCAATATCCGATATCGGAATATTTAAAGTATAAAAGTTTAACAATAGCTCGATAGTCTCATATCGCAACCACGGCATCCGCCATGATCAACCATTAACATACTGCGTACCATCTAATAAGTATACTATCAAAATACAAGACAAGAATTATAGCTTTAAGGCGTGAAACGGAAATTGTGTGTGTTCCTTGTGAACCGTTTAAAATTCTTAAATTGGTTTTGGATCTACCCGTGCATATTATTCATGCATGTATAATCGGTTATCGATATCCATAATTATTTACTATTGGCTGGAATTGCCGTGGCGGATGCGTGTAGTTTGCGACATATAATATGTATTCTGACAGTGATCGGTAGCAGCATGGGCGGCGAGTAAAAACGTGAAGGGTCATTTGCATAGACCGCGGTAATGAGTGTGTCCACCGCAGCCTCGAACGCTTACACACTTACTATCCTTTGATAAGTTTCATTAAAATTACCACATAACATGCATCTTTTTATATCCACTCATGGAATTTCTTGTTTAGTTATTAAAGCGTGTATGTTTCATATTTAATATAAACATCGAGTCAAATTCTATCAATAATGTACGTATTACGCTGTAAGCATTATTATTATTTATTATAAAATCTTTTATTTCAGATTAATATCGCTGTACAGTGTCTGAGCACAGATTTCAGCAGTCAAAAAGGAGTTAAGGTTGGTAATAAAATAATTATTATTCGCGTCTACAACAAATTTCATTGAATATAATGTTGATTGAATAGCAGTTGTTATATAGAGTTGTTTTAAAGACTATTTTTGAAATAGTAAAATCGTGATTCCATTTACATATCTACATTAAATCTTTGTTATTTTATTAATATATTTGATTATAAATTCTGTGTGACAAGATATAAATGATGTCGTAAGACGGTAATTGCTTTGTGATTGTGATGAATATTTGAAACAGAAAATTTATAAGGCACTTAGATGTTAGAATAATAAATGTAATATTCAATAATGTTATCATAAAGTGTGAATTCAATAGTTTGTTATGGACGAAAAACATAGTATGTTATTACAAATTTATTGTAATTTTCTTACTTTCTTTATTTAAAGAGTTTAAAATAATTGTTAATTTTAGTAATAGAGAGGTCATCTTCAAACTCTAACCGACGCAATTAAGTTTTAACGCGATTCGATTCACACACGTCATGCTTTTTTTCTTTTTGTTAAATTTGTTTGATTATTTCTTACTTTTTTAAATAGTTTTATAATACAAAGACATTTAATTTAAGCGTGAAATAAGTGATAATTTGTTTGTATTGTTTCAAAGCTTTTTATAGCCGGTTATATAAAGTAAACTCGAGTAACCGAAGATGTTTTTTATAATGTCACTGTCAATTTTCAATATTATGGAGCAGAGAATATTACTATCCAACAACTATTAATTAAACCTGCTCGTGTATATGCTAAATACAGGTTCTTTTGCATACAGTAATAAGACATGAGCTATAAAGACTTGTTCTTCTTTCGTTACAGGGTTTACCACTTCATATACAAATTGACACCTTCGAAGATCCGCGGGACAGCCAAGTCTATCACAGGGGCTACTGTCAAATTAAAGTTTTTTGTGATAAGGTAAGGATTTCATAAATATGGAATATTTTTTTATTTTTAACTTTCTATACTGTAAATGAAAATTCGTTGTAATTTAGAAATATAAATATTACAATTGTTAAAAACATGATGTTTAATTATCATGTTGAAGGGGGCTGAAAGAAAAACAAGAGACGAAGAAAGAAGAGCTGCAAAGAGGAAAATGTCAGCAACGAATAGGAAAAAGTTGGATGAGATTTACCACCCGGTGACGGAAAGAAGCGAGTTCTACTCGATGGCTGATTTGTCAAAACCACCAGTTTTATTTAGTCCCGCAGAAGATATTGATAAATTAGCGGGAATGGACATACAGGGATTCTATGGGCACGACGAAGGTGCTCTCGCTGAAGCTCATCTCAAGGGCGCTTCCCCATTCCTCTTGCACGCAGCAAAACCTCAAGCACCAGCACTGAAATTCCACAACCACTTCCCACCTGATGCACCTGCGTGAGTAACAGTTTTTTTTACTATTTATATTACGATGCATGGCTGGTGCATTAATAAGAATAAAAGCATGATAAATCTATATTTACAAAATTATATTTTTTTCTACAGATACAGATCTGATGTAGGTGGTCTGTCTCCATATAGCGACCGTAAAGATTCTTTGGAATTGGAAGGTGTTTTAGGCAAGCGTGCTCGCACCTCCACCCCTCCTCTTAGCGAACGCGTGATGCTGTACGTGCGCCAGGACACTGACGACGTTTACACACCACTTCACGTCGTGCCACCTACCACGCAAGGCCTCCTGCACGCTGTAAGTGTGATGATATCCTTATAATACACTTGATACGTCACATTGAAATATTCAATGTTACGTATCAAGACGCCGTTAATGGCGAGCACAATAACCTTGGTGATATCGGCTAACCGCAGAGCACGATGGAACGAGACCTGACAGCCTCGTTCCCTCGTGTTTTCGATATTCGTTTATGAAGGACTCATAATATTACGTAAACGAAAGGAATCGAGACGCTTCGTCCGCTGTAACCGATGTGGCGCTTCATAACCCCGTCTAATACAATCCACACGATCATCATAACTGCATGTTGTAATTAACCCCGCGTGGCCGCACCGGATCCCGCAGTCCCCGCGCGACTTACTTTTTTGTTCTTATGAATCAATAGACCGGTTACGAGCCATCGTTCGCTCCGTTAGACGAGACGTCTCGGTTTAAAGACAAAAGGCCCATTGTAATTTTTTTGTTTTCTCCTCATTTTCAGATTGAGAATAAGTACAAAATTTCAAGTTCGGCAATTAATAATCTTTATCGAAAGAACAAGAAAGGGTAAGTGGTTTTCATTGGCCTCTAAAAAAATATCTAGGCAAACATCGGCCGCCTCGCGTTAAGTAGGCCTAGCTTATTCGGAGGGCGCGCCACTAACTTCACTATGCTTGAATAATTAAAGAGTCCCACTACGACCCTAAATTAGCTTAGTATGAAATCATTACCTAGATCCCGACGACCTTTAATACTTATAATTATTGCAGACACTTTAAATACTTCAAGAAAAAATATTACTAAGTTCTAAACCTAAAATATATGTCTTAACTCCGTAACTTAACCCAAAACTACTAAATAATGATATAATTCTCACACACAAAATTGGCTAGTGGAATTAAATGACAATTTCTATTATAGGATTACAGCCAAAATTGACGATGAAATGCTCGCGTATTACTGCAACGAGGATCTGTTCTTACTGGAGGTGCGACCTGCCGGCGGAGACGACGAGCCGCTATACGACATCACCTTCGTGGAACTGCCCCTTGACCACTAACACCAGCCCCTACCACCTGACGCGGGATACATTGGACACGTGTGATATACCAAATTAAAGTGCTGATAAGCTTCAGTTCGCTTTTGTATAGCTCGCGTTACACCACATTCAGTTTTAATGGTGGTGAAAAGGAAATTCAGTGTTTAACATTCCATAATATACACTCATTATTTATAAATAAGGTTGTCTCTAAAATGTCGATCTCAGATTGAAAATTACTATTAAGGAAAACATCACCGTAATCTATTGTCACAAACATGGTTGGTCGTTTTATAAACGACATAGCAGATCATTTTGTACATATATTATCTATCTGTAAGTGCCTTATGAATTAAATTTGAACAAAATGGTATACCTCAAAAGCGATTGACATGTTTATTAGCCTTTGGAGTTCTTTAGTTTTGATCAATATTAAGGAGGAACTTAATGATCTGTTGCTGAACTAAAATTTGTGTGCCATTCGCTCGATAATCATACTAGATTTATTTAGTAAAAGTTTTAACAGGTACCTTTTAATCTTGCCATGATGATAAAGTAAGAAAATTCTTGTCACAAATGTAATATTGTAGATAAATATCATCTACAATAAGAAAAATAACGAAGTGCCTTTCATAATAATTAATTTTTATATATGTATTAATATAAGTGTGTTAAGTCAAATTAAATGCCATCCACTTTGTTAAGTTTTATATACTTAAGTTTCGCTATATAAGCTCGCTCAATTCATTCATTTAGGAAAGTTTATGTTAGAATAAGTATCAGTGTTGTGTCACAATGTTCTTTTATAATTCACATTGACTTGGTAATAATACGTGACAATCAAACGCCCAGGTTAGAATGTTTCCAATAGCTAATTATAATTAAGAATTCATTTAATTATATTGAGTTCGATGTTATCTCAACAAATTATACAAAAACGCCTTTGAAACTTAAAATGGAATTGACTAATATAAATAATAAATAGAGATAATAAAAGCAAATTAAAATTTTAAATGAGACACCATAGTTACTTTGCATAATATCTACTTTGTAGTCATTTCAAGTCAGTCACAAAATCGTACATCAGAACATTTACATACATCTGCGGGAATGGTATGTGCTGGTACATACATTTTAAATATTTTATTGATTTTAGCTTTTATTAAATATAATGCTTTCGATACTTCACATATCTGGCCATGACAACTTGGAATTCAAATAGTTTTGCTGTCCAAGACTTTATTTTAAGATGAATTGAATGAAAATGTAATTTCGAGCCGTGCCGATTTTTTGGATGTTATAAATTGTTTCGTATCTGGATTTAAGACATTGGCTTTCTTTATATGACCACGGAATATTTGTTAGGTTTTCTCCACCGATTAATTCAAAATTCAGAACCAGGTTCTGTTCCTTAAAGGGATTGGTCGAAGACAAAGTCGGCCAACATATATATACATACCTATATATATATATATATATTAAATAAGTGCTGTGCCTAGTGCGGACGGTTCGATTAACTGCCATATTATGACATAGTTTAGATTACTTGATGATTTTAGTTTTAAGAGTTTTAAGTGTAGTTCATTTTATTGTCACACACGTTGCAGGTAGGATCGAATTTTTATTAGGATAACGCTATATATGTATATTGATATTTATGTATTTTATGTAATACATAATTCGTTGTTTCGCTTCCTTTGATCATCGTCATAGTGACCACAGATCAAAGTTATTGATATCTTCCATTATATTATTATGTTATGATTTTACACACTCGTTGACTTCTGTCCACATTATTTTAAGAAATTCGGAATCTCTATACATGTTATAAGTTTAATTTGCATTTTGCTCAAAGTCTGCATTTACCTTGGAGTGGGGCGGACTCTAAGTACTTACATTGTTTTATATTTTACTTTTACTTATCGATTTAATGATATTTATTTATGTACTTATGATTATAAATTGCAGCTTTAATGTTTACTCACAATGATGTTAGATCGTGATTCTGAATCTCGTCATAAGTCACAAACGTCAGTAGCAATAAAATACGTAAAGCAGTTAGTAGTTAAATGGGCGTGTTCACGAAGCGTAACGCGTCGCCAGCCTACGATGTTGTGCAATGATTAGTTTACGGAAGTACCTAGCTCGAGTGTGAATATTGTATGGGAGAGGTGGAGGTGGAGGGCGCTGGCGACGCGCCGCGACGCGGGCCGTCGTCTCCTTGAGATAGTCACACTAGTTGTTATAGACATCCAGAAAGTGGTAGCACATTTTCGTTAATAAATTTTAATGTACTTAAGTTTAAATTGAATAGATGTTACGTTATTCTTTTATATGAATATTTGTAAGTTGTCATAAAAATATTATTAATATAATTATTTTTATCAAAGTTTATAATCTAAATAAAAATGTTTTTCTTCAAAACATAAACTTGTATTTCTGTTTGTCCCTTTGTTCCCTTTTATGGCCTCCAAAATAATGTAGAATAAAATTGATAAGTACTTATCAATTTTATTTGTGTTCAAATCCTTCGACAATTGGAGGAAATGTTAAACGGTGGCACGATTTTATGAAATAGTTTGAGATGAAATCTGTAACACTTAAATTATACAAGCTACAACAAAGACTCGATAAGTATCTTTTTAGAGTAAAATTACTAATACTAACATAATTTTACAAGGTATTTAAATATTAAGGACTCGCTTAACAGATCTAAGACAAATAATCTGACAAATTGTATTATGTAAACTTTATATTATTATTAAGACAATAAAGCCTTATCGTATTTTACAAGAAAATTATAGCGTATGTACACCGAAAGCAATAAATCACAAAAGCTTTAAGAATTTAGACAGAGAACGATTTTAAGAAATAGATTGATAAATATTGAGTAAATTCCTTAACAAGTACATTTAAAATATTGATTAGGAAGGAGAGTAACAGGAGGAAATAGGAGTTACAAAGAAGATTCTAGATAAAAGGATTGAAGGTCAGTCGCCGGGTTTGTCCTTAAACCAATAGTCCACTTTAAAACGCTTCCTTCTATTTTTAATATAATTATTTTTTGCTACCCAGCGTTCTTTATGGACAGTTGGTTTTGGGTACACAAAGCTATCTTACTTACATGATTTCATTAGATTTGCTAGACTTAATCTTTTAGTACTAAGCAGGCACTTCATTAAACACAAAGAATAAAAGACGTAACCGATAAAACGCACCTAAATCTACCTTAAATAATGTAATATGGGATGCTATAACAATACTTTAATGCAACTTAATTATGTTCCATTAGAACTACGAGTATGAATTATATTAATAAATAATCATAGACTGACTAGATGTCTCAATTCAGAAACTAGAAATAAAAGATAATCTTTAACTACTGTAACTTAGCGATATTGTTATTGCGTTCATGAAAATATGATAAGTAAAAAATTACGTATCAACTTTTATATTAAGTTTCATGTATATGGGCTTAATAATTTCTAAAACAATTTGTACTCAGTTTTAAAACAGTCATTTATTTGAAATTTTGTCAAAACTTTAATAATTTAAACAACGTCTTTCAGATTTTAGAATTGGATCTACAAATTAAACACTCAAGGTTATTTGGTGAATTAATCAAGTAACTTTGACGATACATCGCTTCTACTGACTACGATACGAATGTTCTAAATTACTATTTAAATATATTTTAATTATTTGGCAAGCTACGTACTATTACAATAAAGACTATGAAAGTAGTCGTCAAGAAGCTACAGTACCTATATTTTCATTATAATAAAATATTACTAAAACACGAAGATTTTAAATAAAAACATAGAATAAACCTGCCTCTATAATACTTTTTGTAGTAAATAAGCAATTTATAATTATATTTTAATCTTGAACCGTTCCCCTTCGGAGCAGTTCGCAAGTAATGGCTATTGTATGAGCGGTGAGCTCTGACTGTCGCTGAAGTCGAGGGTGTAGTACATGTCGGTGGTGTCAAGAGTTGGAGGCAGGGGTGCTGGTGGGGCTCGCTTGTCTTCCAACCAGTGATGTGGCGGACCTGACTCCGTCACACGGGACAAACGGGACATGAGGCGCGAGTAGGTCTTGTTCACACGACAGTGACATGCTGTTACCTATAAAGGATAAAATAAGAGTTTATCATTAATAGAACATTTGTGAGAGGAAAACGTATCGATAACTTCTGCCTGAAATAGTAATCTGTACGGCTTACATCCTGATTTAAATAGATGAAACTTTCTTTGCTTAAATGTTTTTACGTTACATCTTCATACAATGTTAGCCACATTGCGAATTCTACCTTATAACTTTGATGAAATGTACAGACAGAATGTATGTTAAGTTAAATTAAACATTAGAAATTGCGTATATAATGTTCAGGTTAAAACAGAATAATAAATAAAGGAAGTGTCAGATAGATAAAGCTCAAACATACCACAACTCCGACAATAGCGATAGCAGCGCCCAGTGTTCCGGCAGCGATGTATACATTGTGTAGTCGGTCGTGATACAAGCCTAATGGTAGTCTCATCTCCCGCACTGAACCTCCTCCAGACTGTTCTTCTCTCTCACTCTCATCCACCACTGACTCCAGAATGAAGTCCTCTAAAATATTCGATTATAATAATGAGATAACAAAGCCTTTTATTAAATTAAAAAACGTATTATTTTTCTTAACTATATTTGCTTTATTCCTAGTGTAATAACAAATGTAGCTTCCAATTTAGATATATTTATTTTATTATTATATTTGAAAAGGAATATTCAAACCTTCGCAGAGTTTCCCCGTGTAACCTGGCCGGCATGAACAGTAGAATGAGTCGACACCGCTCCAACACGTACCGCCGTGAGCACATGGGTTGTTATCACATGCCTGTAAATTATTATATGAGATATTTACTTTGAGACATTATCGACTTAATGACTTTAGGAAAGTTTCCTAAGCTCCTCTAACAAAAGTCTAACGTTTATATCGAAACAAATTGGGTCATAAAATTAAAGTATTGAGCCATAAGTTCTAGAAACTAAATAAAAAATTAATTTCATCACTGAAATTTTTATTAACAAAACTTTTAAATATTTTCACTGGGTCCAATTAAATTAACAATGTCATTATTAAGTAACGAAATTAATTAATACACCGACCCGTGTAAGGGTAATGTTATTAATTACTTCAATTAGTACGTACCGAAGTGGCCGGTATGTGACACTCTTCGCCAACGAACCCGCTGGGACACTCGCATGTGTAACTACTGCCGTGATCCATACAGTAGCGATGGGTTGGACAAGGGTTGGGTGAACAAAGGTCAACCTAAGAATAAAAAATAACATGAACAAACGTACTTTTATATCAAAACAATTTCGTTCACTGTGGCGATTGATAAAAAAAATCTAATTTAATAAAAGTGAAATAGATACATTTGTCTTTAAAATACGAAGATTATATTCTTATTTTAAATTTATTGGCTTTTTTTGCATGTTTCTTTATTTACTGCATTGTATCATTGATGCGTTAAGATTTAAGGATGGGTCGAAATTTAAGTCGACGAAATATAATATCGAGGTACCTTCAGTTGGCAGTTATCGCCAGTATATCCCCGAGTGCATGAACAGTCATAACCACCGACCCTGTCAGTACAGGAGCCTCCGTTAGCACAAGGAGATGATTCACACTCGTTGTACTCCAACTCGCAACGATCACCAGTGTAACCTAAAAAAGTATTGGTATATATCTATAAGGAAACAAAAATGTTCACGCTAATGGTTTTGTACGTTGAACAGTTTGAAATATACATCTGATAGACAAAATCGATATTCTTAGCTCATCTGCCAGTCTTTCCGCATAGACTCGATTAAGGAAAATTAGATTTTATTCAGTACAATAGAAGAAGTTAAAACCTTCGTAAAAAGATTTAAGTTTAATCTCTACATGCTAGATTTAAAAAACACGAATATGGCAGTATATCCCCTAACTAAAAGGATAAGTCGAATAAAAATATAAATGTTAAATATATTTTAATTAATTCCATTACAAAAAGATTTCGCGAAAATAAATTATTACAGACGCAGCAATAAATTTTATGAAACAAAAATACGTAACAAAATAAAGGCATCGGGTTTATAAAGCCATTTCAAGCCTCTACGTACAGCAATTTCAAGCATCAGAGCTTTACAGAAAACGAAACGGATGACGTGATCCAGCTGACGCAACCATTAGATGATAAATTCTAAATATTATCCGGCCACTCGATTATGAAATCCATCCAACCATCAAATGGAAGTTTAAAAAATCCATTGAAAAAGAGCAATATAAAAACACCGCTCCGGATTTATCGCGAATGAATATTGACGTGGCTCAGAGGAAGGATTAGATTCCTAGCGTGATTGATTGGAACCGACGTTTCTTTATAGATCGCGGGATATTGAAGTTATAACTTTTATTAAAGGACCTCAAAAAAATAATATTAAAGATTTAAGCATTTATTAATATGTAAGAAAACTTATGCTATCTTGATATTTTATTTTTCATAAGTGAAGTATCTTAACAATTCTCATTTATAACATTATTCATTTTATAACTTCATTGTGTGTTAATGCATTGCTCTAGAATAATTATTATTGAGTGCCTCATCCATTTTAATGTAATATTTTTATAACCACAAGTAAACATTCCGACCGCATGCATTTATGTATTAAGTTACATTCGGGTTTGTTTACCCGCACACGTCCTAAATTTACTCGTCCGAAAAACAACCTTTGTTGATTCATTTTCCCCATTTTATATAATAACGATATAAAGCTTCCCTCTATATAAACGCTGAAACAATTTTAATTTTCGCTTCAAGGAAAATAGCTTCTCATTTGGAAGTAATAGGTTCACATAAATTTCTTTAGATATTAATTTCATTTTTATTTGTTAAAAGCATTTCGCGAAATCATTAGTAGAGAGTAATTGAAACGAACATTCTGAATCAATTTTATCAATTGAGATAATATAATGGCTATTCGTATTTTCCTATGTTTTAAATTAAAACGTATTTAAAAAAGATGCTTTATTCATTTCACTTTACTTGTGTTTCACGGAAAAACATGTTGTTGTTGTTATTAAAATTTTACAGTAATGGAGCTTGAATATGATAATAACGTAAGCATAAATTTACAGGCATATTTTTTAGCGATAACATCAAAGTACGCGAGCGAAGAGCGGAAAGCAGTAATTACAACGTTTTATTTATACGTTAAATAATTATTCCCTACGTAAAGATAGGATATTTTATGATATTCATGAATTGTTGGAGTATATGTTACATACAACTGACCTGGTTCACAGAAGCATCTATATTTAACATCATCCACGTCGCCATCTAATTGTTCAATGCATATTCCTTTAACACAGGGTTTTGATGCGCAGACGCCGCCTGTAGCTGGGATTTCACAGTGAGCGCCAGTCCAGTCATCAGTGCAGGCGCAGTGGAAAGTAGTCGACCCATTCATTGCCATACTCATACAAGATCCCCCATTAAGGCAGGGTGCTGAATAACATGGATCCTTCTCACACTTTCTTCCAGTGAAACCTATTACGTTATTTCTTTTTAAGAAAATCTTAAACAATTAAATATATATATATTTATAATATTATATTAATCTAGAGGTAGACATAAAATCAAAGGTGATTTTATACCTTGCATGAAGCAATGGAATTAATTGAGAGTTTAACTTGTATACATAATATTTATTACTGTTATCTGAATACGAAAATACCTTTTACGGGTATCGCATATGTTGGTAATTGGCTGTCGGATTACGTAACGGCGGCTTGCGTTCCCGATTACGTCACTTCAAAGTTTAATTAAATAAGCGTATATCAATTAATTTTAATGTTCAATATAAATATTAAATTTCATTTTATATATTAAATATATTTATTTTAGTATAAATGTCCAATTTATTAATGAAATAATATTAACTTTTATGAATATAAGGTAAGTTTAACATATTAAGTGATCATATATAAAGAATGTAATGTTTAATGACAAGTAATATTTATTTATTATAATTATAATTTTCAATTTGAGGAAATTTAAATTAATTTTAATGTCGTGACGCTCTCAGAATTAATACTATAAAAATATTAATTTCTGCTAAGTTTAAGTAGCATTAACAAAATTACATTCATAGGATTTTCTATTAAATTTTTATTTTGTCTCAAAAATCCTCGGATATAGTACGGTCTCAGAGGCTTAATACTACAAAAGTATTATCTAATAGCTATAAAATAAACATAGATTACTGTCTAGATTTACAGCTAATCTAGTTTTATCTAATATAAGCTAAGACGCGGGAAGCCAATTAGTACTACATGCAATTAAAGTATAATTATCTTAGGTACTTTAAATGGTATCTATTTCCCTTAGCAATAGGCTGACGCCGTAATTGATAAGTAACATTTAATTACAACTGAAATTTAATGTACAAAGTAATTAATACAATTTAATGAACATCCATTTAAATTATTTAAACACCATTCAGATGTTTCATATATATTATAAAACCGTTATACGCTTAAAATATGTGTAAAAATATGAATAATTTATAAAAATAGTACCGTATGGACATAGGCAGTGATAGGTGGCACCGTTCGAAGGTTGCGTGAGGTCAACACATATGCCATTATTCAAACAGGGTGATGGATTGCAAACCTCCCTGTCCTCGCAATGAGAACCGACGTACCCACGGCAACACTGGCACTCATAACCTTCCTATTAATATACAACATACTAACATAACTCTCATTAAATCATAGCAATATTATGACATGCAATGCCACAAATAAATCCATGGTAGATTTTGCAACAAATCCGGTAATACTTATATCAAGAGAAAACGTGATAATTCCGTTCAATTAAAATGAATTATTTCAAAGATCTTTTTTGTTACTGGCTGTATTCGTAGCGCTTAAGTAGATTATAGCAAAACATAGCAGATGTTCTTGAACATTTCATGATAACGAAATTGTTTAATCTTCTAATTGTTTTTATATATTTTTCAGTAAATAATTATATCATAAATAGTTTGAAATTAATACGTTTAACAAAATTATTAGTTTAAAAACAAGGCTTCTTAAAATTACATATATAACATGACGGATAATTGAGACGTTCGAACAAATATTTTTAGATAACTTCAGAATGTATTCTAAATGATAAAATATATTAGGAACAATAAGAGCATAAATATATTAATGTATGAATGTTCGTATGCTTGTAAAAAAAGATTTAGATGGGAGGGAAATCGGATGTAAAACCTGGTAAATATAATGGTAAGTGTATAACATAAAAGGTATAGTACCATCGAAACGTTCGTATAACAAACGCCTTTCCCGGAACATTCTTGAGATTCTCCGCAGTTATCCGATTTCACGGTAACTTTCAGACGAACGCATTGTGATCCCCAGTTTTCCGATACAACTGTAAACAAAACTTTTATCAGTGTTTTCATTAAAAATAAACTACCAACGTTGCACACAGCAGATAATGACCGTTAAATTTATGTCAAGTTATTTTTGTATAGTGGAAGTACGAAATAAAAGCGACGTTTCCTCTTTTACGAGTTTCCGGTGAGAGCCTTTCACTAAATGCTTACTTCTCACGCAATGTTATTCTAATTTTGGTCCCTGAGAAAACTTTTTACTGCTAGCTACAATAAAATTTATGGACTTTACGAGAATTTAATATAATTTCTGTCTTCAATATCGTCGTATGTATTGCTTTGAAATAAATATATTTTTATGTTATAAATATAAACCAACATAAAATAGTACGTGTATTAAGATTTACCTATGAGTAAATTAACGCCTTCAGTCAGATCTTTGTCGTATAACGTAAATATTTTGGCACCGTGCTCATCTAGAGGCGTTATATCGAGTAGCATTCCATCGGATACATCGCAGTGTTCGTGCCCCTGCCGTGTCACTTGGTACACCGCCGGTTGAACAGATATATGAGTTCTGAAAATACATCTCTTAAAAGGCCAGCGTACCCAATGAGCAATGTGCAAAGCTAAACGGTTCATTTACTAATACGTTTCATGATATAGGTCAACTATTTATACAGCCTCACCTCTTCTCAGCGGTGTGTGAAGAGTTCGCGTCCATGGTTTCGTTCTTAGTATTATAGGTTTCAATAGAAGACGAGTCAGCGATGCGAACGATAAGAATATCTCCGCTTTGAATGGCTGCGACCCCCTCCCACGACACGATGACCGAAGAACACTCCTCCTCACCTCTGTTGTGTTCGCCAACACACTCCTCCGATATCCACAAAGCATAATTTCAATATATTTATCTAACTACTGCGAGCTTAAAGAATTATTTGACCATTAAATGTCCCTAGCACACCTACGAGTAGTACATTTAAATCCTTGGTATTTTATAAAAGCGTAGGATGTTATAAAATGGGTTTCAGTTTGTTGTACTACAATGTCAAAGGTCATATTGCACTAGTGTGTAAGTATATTTACGTTTTAAGGCTGAGCTTGCAACCAACAATTATTTTTTATTAAAAGAATTTGTATTATTTGAACCATTGACATTTATAAAACTATTTCTAAAAAATTCATATTCAAAACTTGCATGAAAAGATATGTACTATGTAATACGAGTAGTTACTCCAAAATATAGTCTGGGTGTTTCAAGTAGTGGCCCTTTTAGAGGCGGAAGAATCCATCGAGATCTTAATCTATGCGATGCTACATTCCGCATATATAGAGGATACGATACGACACGGACTATTCATTTATCTTTCTGAGAAGCAATGAACGAAGTTGAACTAGTGAAGTAGAAAAGCTTTTCTCCTTTTCTTTGGACTAGCGCAATTTATGGTTTATGTGTTTGACCTCGTTGCGCTCAGTGCCGTCACGATCAGAGACGTAGCCAAGAAATGTATTATGTTAAGGATATTACGCTTCATACTAATTTGTTATGGTATTTTATACACGAGTTTATATGCTATAACAGATTCAAACTATAACTTGTGACAAGTTATTTCATTTTATTATTATTATTAAAACAATAAATAAAAAATTGTAAATAGTATATACGAAAATATATTACGCAATTACAGTTTTGGGTGAGGGGAACTTAATCCTAATATTAAGCTTATAACTTACCGTGACGGGTAAATTGAGCTCGTGTGTCTCATTGCCTCGCCAGAGCCGAGATTCCCTCGGCAATACGGGCAAATCACAGTCTATAGCCCCCAAGCGATCTTGCAATTGCGTTATAGAGTGACTTGTACTATTTGTAGTGCTTAACTTTGGCGTTTTTGAGCTTTTAAGTGTACCCTTTGTATTCACGTATGCTTGAGTAGTAACTTTTTGTGATGTGGTTGGGCTCTCGGTGGTGTATTCTTTCGTTGTTTTAACGCTTTCCTTTGTTGTTGGAGTAGCTGTTCTGAGAGGCTCTGTCGCCCCTAATGGCTTTACGCTAGACGCAGTTGAGTGGATAAGCTTAGTAAATGTCGACGTCATGGAACTAGGAAGAGTGGCGACACTAGATGATACTTCAATTACATCCGTAAGATTATCGTTTGTCTCACCGCAACACGCTCCAAAAAACGTTAAATATAAACTTATTAGCAAAAACATTTTATATGGAGGGGCATTAAGACTTAATTTCACTACCTCCATTCTTTCAGGCTTCTATTCAATGTTCCAAATTCACGTCCTTGGAATACTTGGCACAGTTTCAGATATAAGTTGACAGCATTTCCTGCCAAAACAATAATTGAACAATTGGTTTATTTTCAAACTCCACTTTGTTAATCGGCACGGTTTAGATTTATTGCCTTTTTTTAATAATATTGAATGTACATATATTTTATTACAACATAAAATATCTACAAAAACAATTATTAAATCCAAAAGTATTTTGATACATCAGTAATAAATATTATTTGTATTTTTTTTAATAAATTACGGATTATTTGATTATTGTTAAATAACGAAAAATCAATTTCAAGTTTTTATTTATCCGACGGTAACATGTCAAAATAGAAAACGAAATAAATATTTACTAATAACTAGTTTGGCGTCTCAAACTAACTAATCTTACAAAAAATTTCCAAATATTACAAAAGCAATAGTCTAAAATTTTGCTCTATTTTAGTCTAAAACACTAAAAACCCTTTAATCTTCAGAAAATTCATCCCCTTTTAGTTCAAATTAAATCGAGTCATTGCCTTTGACCAGTGTCACTAGCTCTAATTTATGTGTACATATTTTACGACGTAAATTATTCATGTGATGGAAGATATTTTTAGATGACCTAAAAATGTCCATTGGACATATTCATGAGCAATAATGACTGTTCATATTTAGCAAAAACACCGCCTAATTTCTATTCCTAAACCATTGCTTGGTTATACGTATTTTAGATAAGTTTTTCTGAATTTAATATATTCTTTTATATTTTTTAAAATATGGGGTAGTAGATAACCACATCTGCTAGTCCTTGTTTCGTCTCCCTCTTAGTAAGCGGAATTATAAAATAATCTTAAACAAAATTAATGCAGCGATTGCTACAGCGTTTACTTCCGGCAAAACGTTAAAACGTTACATTTGTAATTTTCTTAAAGAATATTTATATTTTTAAATGAACATGTCATTTATATTCAATACTTTAAAAAATGTTGATTTCTAAAATACTCTATTTTTTATTTCTAAGCTTAATTCCTTCAAATTTTTCATTAGTTTAAAAAACGTATCTAGACTTGTATTGTATTCGAATAAAAATAATCTTTTTTTTGTTAAACACAAACAATTTTAATATTATTAAAATAATAATATATAATAACACATACAAAAACAAATGTCCTGTAAACTGAAATGAATTGTTAATTTTTTTTTAAATGCAGTTAAACATTAAATGCAACTTTGAATAAATAAGGAAAATAAGTATGCAGCATACTAACATTTATATGCTATCAACGAAAGATAAAAAGACAATTCCCAAACGTACATAATAATAAATAAAAGGAGGAGTATCTTAATCTTATACTTAGTCTTACCAATGATCGATCAACTTCAATAAAACTCACTCACTATAAATATAATTGTACCGTAATTTATTAATAATAAAATATATATTGCATATTGTTATGAGAAACGTTGGTGTAGTAATTGTTATGGCAGGAGTGGAACGCGTTGCGGAGGGCGGCGTTTTCCTCCGCAGCCTCCGTGACACTGAGGGGTGCGCGCCCCGCTGCCTCACCCTCCGCGCAGCCTTCATGCTTGTATCTTTACTTAATTTTATTCAATGCCTGTAATATCAACGATTTCTTTTAACGCGTCAGGACTCAAGGTCGTATGCGTTACGTAATTTTTTTTTTCATTAGTGATTGTATTTTTTTTTATTAAAAAAATACCCTTTATTGCATTTAATTTGTTTTATTTTCGAGCTATAAAGATACACACTAGCTCTGGTTCTGCTAAATTAGTTTCAGGAGTAATAAACTTAACTGAGCGTGAGAGCTTGCACAGAGCTTGTCTATTATCTTTATACATATATAGCATTTTATTGAACACGATAAAATAATGGTAAAAGCATCAAATGAAAAAAAATATTAAGGGCATCAATTAAAAAGATAACTCGTTTAACAAATTACAAATGTTTTTTGTAAAAATACGCTTTTGTATATATTTGTTTGTCACGCATGGTAATAAAGATGTACAAATGGATAACTCAGTTGATAGACCGATAAATAATGCCATTGTTCATTCCAATCAAGCATTCGACGACCCTTAATAATTTAAGACTCGATTGCTTGAAAACCGAAAATCGATAAATTATAATTGCGCACAAAGCGTCCTCTATAAATAAGGTTTAAAAGGGGAACGGTGGACGGCAACATTAAAAAGCTAACTTAAATACTACGGAAATAAAATAATCTTATTTTTGAAATATTATTTTTGAAACAATTTTTAAACGCCTTGAAATTAAATACTAAAAAAAAAAATTAATGTAGTATTAATTAAGGATTCCTCCCATACTGAATGCTTAGATTTGTTATGCATTTTGTAGTTGTTAGTTGTTGTGTTTTTATACAAAGAACCTAAGTGATTTTTTTAGATTATAAAAATTCCTTAAAGCAAAATATTTTTTCCACGTTTCCACGTCAAACATAATTCAAATAAAATCTGTTTTGAAGTAACGGTATCCGGAAAATATGAAGAATATATTGTCATAGTTGATGGTTTGCTCGTTTGGGATATGATAGCGCGTTTCTTGTAGATTTATTTGAAAGATACTCTGTAAGTACATGTCACTTAAGTTGTATTAAACGAAAGAATTTGCGTAATTTTAGCAATATTAATGATGCCTTTAGGTTTTGTTTTAGAAATGAATAGTGTAAAGAGTAGAAATTAATTAAAAATACCTAACAGAAATTGACATTAAAAATTTGATTATTGCTATATGAATATTTTAAAGACAGAAAATAAACAAACCTATTTCATAAATACTTCGTAATCAATGAATTAATCTGTATTTTTAGCACAAGTTTGATTTATTCCAATACATGAGGATCATTTCAAGATTTTCATTCATAAACCTTCGCTGATACTAGCATGTACGAAGATTTTAGATGAATAACTCTTAGAGCTCGTACGCAAAGTGACTATACAAACTTGGGGTAAGCGTACTGATGACAACCCTGTTAGATCTAACTATTCAGATACGAACTTACGTTAATATTTAGTACTCCCCAACTACATGAACTTAACAAAGTTTGATGTGATATTGATTGTTATTGGTCTCAAATCACAGGGAGTTAACGTTTAATCTGATAAACCTACGTGATAACTAGCATAATAATAATTATTATTATCATTATTTTACTGTAGCATAATATGGTTAAAAAAATATTTAATTAATTATTATCAAAGTGAAATGTATATATATATCTTTATTCTTACTGACCTAACGAAATATTAGATACAATCGAACTTTTAAAGTGTCGAACTATTTTAGAAAATGTCATTTTATTTTCTTTCTTCCGTTTAATGTCGAACCTTAAAAATCGTTATTTAATATCGTTTCTGTTTTTCTTTTATTCAAAATGTACAATTAAATTTTTGTTTATTATATTCAAACTTCATTTCTTTTATAACATTTCTTATATGCGATGATATATTAAACATACAAACTTTTTTTTTACTAAAAACAAATTTTTTCTTTAATATACGACCTAGGTTTGATTATGGTAATTTTTTAGATCCTTAATGACTTTAGTGACAGTACCTAATGCCAGGATAACAAATTTATATGTTTTCTATACATAGGCCACTTATTATAAATTCAAATAAACAATCCTTTAATCTTTCTAAGTTTTAAAAGGGTCGAACTTTTGTTAACCTAATATAATTAAAATAGTTATGGTTATTGGGATTCTCAACCACTGATAATTTAAATAAATTATTTGGAACTTCGAAGGTAATCGTAAATCTTGATTTTTTTGTTAAGTTGTACTCTTTAATGCAATCCGTACAAACCTAATATTAAAACTTAACAGTTTCAAAAGTAAAATAAGTTTTCGATAAACTTAAAAAGAAGTATAAAGTAGGTATTAACTATTTTTCCTTCTTTCATTTTAATATTTAGTTATATTTATTTTACTATATGTACACGTATTAATTTAATGTACATGCAGCATGTGACGTAATGTATAATTTTTACTCTGTTACGTAATTTGTTAAATGGAGGGTTGGAGAGCTGGCATAGTTCCAGATCGCTCACGAGCGGCCGCTTTTATCTCCGCATGCATTCACAACCAATACTCTTGCAAAAATTAGTTTCCCTTCACGCCGCATGTGCTGGCGACGAGCCAATGATATATAGGTCTTTCAACAAATATGTCATTCAGTTGTCACTAACACATGAATAACGTTCACATGAAACGCTTTGAAATCTCCGTGTGTTGTACATATACAATACGTATTGTCTTTTAGACTTAGTATGGAAATGTTTGAAGTACGGAGATAAGTAGCACAAGTTTCATTTGTTTTATCAGTATTGAGCTCAAAACAAAAATATTTTAAGTAATTGTTAATGACACGTATCCCATTATAAATAATACACTATCATCTAGATCATAGACTTTGAGAAAAAAAGAAAAATAATTTCATGAAATATTTATACAATTTTTCGTAAATATATCATATCATAAATAAAACAGCAATCAGTTTCAATGTCGCCCTTCAAAAAGAAAGCTGCATCGGATTTAAGGTACCCCTGGAAAAATTTTTAATAATGAAACATTTTTTGTTAAACTAATGATACGTATTCTCCAAGTCGCTCTATCACTAACCGCATTTTTTAAGGAGAAAGAAAGAAATATTATACAAAATATTAAATACAACAGGATACTGTATGCATATATGTATTATATTGCTAAATATAATTCATAACATATAATTCTTTTCCAACAATATAATTTTTAATTTAATAATATTAATAAACAATCTCCATCACAGGTTGATAACTACTGATCTTTTGTTTAAAATTAAATAAGGCAAAATAAATTGTTATTCACAACTTTTTCACATTTTATCAAATCATTTCAACGCCATCTATGTTTATATATGTAGGATAAACATGACATCTTTTTCTATTACACAAACGACTTAACTAAAACTTATTTACAATATCTTATAAAGGATGTTCTCATCAAATTAATAAATCATGATTTTTTTTTATCAACATTGTTACCTCCTGTGGAAGGTGGTACGGCGGGTACCTGGCCGCCATTTTGTCCGGGTGACATCTCAAACGGTGCGAGCGGAGCGTGGAGGCGTATGAGAACCGTTCGTCGCACCACTTACAGCTGAGCGGCTTGTCCCCGGTGTGTGTGTGCATGTGAACCTGTATATACAAAACATATAGAAATAAGAAAGGAAACCTCTTAGCATTCAATGGATTTATCGTGCGGATGCCGGGTCCATTCTGTTGCAGGGAGAGGAGCTTCAACAGTGCCTGGGACTTGCGACCCAGGTGTAGGTTTAAGGGGCCCCTATCTAACGAGCGTTAAACACTCCCCTCCTCTGTCCAAGCTCCTCTCTCTACCTAACCAAATTTGAAAAGAACCTACTAGGGCTGTTTCGAAGTATGATCCAAGAATGAATTAATGTGAATTCTGGATAAGCCCAAGTCTTTTAGTAGGTTGTAGAGAGATTTAGCCGTTGTGAGATATGTACTGTAAACATATATTCGAAATTTCATAAATATCAGAGATACTACTACTATTTCATAAATATCAGACTTACTGCCACTAATAATGCTACCAAAAATGTGGTCACAAATTTCATAGATATTTTAAATATTATTTTGCATAAAAACAAAAAAAATATATTAATGTCATCCCAAACGCTTATCGATTTTTTTTTTCTATATTTCTTCTAACAAAAGGCGATGAAGATGAAAAACTACAAAACCGAAATTCTTTTTTATTGTCACATTCTATATTGGTCATAAAATTTCCTGTCCAACTAACCTGCAGCTATGATCGTCTTACAGTTACTATCTATTAATGATATTAATATACATATATCTCTCATTTCGTAACAACGCCATTTAGGATAATATATGACATTTTTTCACTTCCAAACAAGGGCGTATTATTAATAATGCTAGAGCTTTGTGTCTATGGACCAAGCATATAATATCACAGTCTACCTTTAATGTCTGCCGTCTCTTGAACGCTTTGTTACAATAGGAGCAGACGTGTTGACACTTGTCCTCATGCACCAGGAGGTGTTTCCTCAGCGTCCGTCGACTGTTCAAAACTCTGTTACACACGTGACACGCGTACGACGTGTCGTCGTGAGTGTCCAAGTGAGTCTTCAAATTGGAGTACGTCTTGAAACTGGTGATTGATTTATATAGAGATTATCATTATATCCCTACTAATATTATAAATGCGAAAGTAACTCTGTCTGTCTGTCTGTTACGCTTTCACGCCTAAACCACTGAATTGATTTTAATGAAATTTGGTGCAGAGATCGAGTTGACCTTGAGAAAGAACATAGGAACTATCCTATGTTCTTTCTCAAACTATTTATCCCAGACTTTTGAAAGGTTCTCTTGGTAACGCGATATAACCAAACTCCACGCGGGCGAAGCTGCCGGCGGAAAGCTAGTATGAAATAAGCGGACTATGAGGGTAGATATAGAAATATATTTTCTGGTAATTAGTATTTTAAAAGTTTCCTTTGTTAGAAAATATCCAGTTGATTCTGAAACGATAAGCTGACAATTTTTTGGCGTAAAATTAACTTGTGTTATTAATTTAGAACGATAAACTGTTCATCGCGTGTAGCCAGTTCAAAAATTTTTAAACTATGTTCACTTCTCTTCTGACATGTGTGTATGTATGTATGTGTATATATATCATATATACTAACGACTTGTAACACTTCGTGCATGTGAACGGTTTATCCTCGCTGTGTATGGCCCTGTGTTGTCTGAGCTCCCCGCCGGTGCCGCACGCGTACCCACACAGGTCACACACGTAGCTCTTGATCTTATCGTGTACTACACGCTTGTGAGACGCGCATGAAGAACTAGTTGTGAACCTGTATGATAACGAAATAGTCATTAGATATGTGCACTTTATATTAAGTTGGGTTATAAAGCTATGGTATTAACAAATTTTGTGTTCTTTAATTATATAGAATGGAGAAAATGGACTGTTATTTGACAGGCAATTATTTTTTATACTATCAAATTATACCTTGTATTTTATGTCAATGTTTAGCCAAAGATAATCTATATGAAATATATGACATTGTTATGCTTACAAAGTTTATACTGATTTGTTAGTTTAAATAAAATGATAATATATAATCGTTATAAAGTGATATATTACAAAATTATTAAGTATTGTCAATAAACAAGGAAGTACTGTTACTCACATTCAGACTCTGAATAGAAAAATCATAGGAAAAATTTTAGTTAAGTGGACATTCTTTCAAGGGAAATGGTAAACAATTAGATGCTTATAAGTTTAATTAAACTGTTTCGTAAATACAAAAACATATGTTGTATTATAATTTATAACAAACTAGTTTTTGCCCGCGACTTCGTCCGCGTTAATTTCATCATCTTCTATATATATAAAAATTTATTGCTGTTCCTTAGTCTCGCTAAAACTCGCGAACGGCTGAACGGATTTATCTTATCTTAGTCTTGAAATGTTCGTGGAGGTTCAGGGAAGGTATAAAAGCTGAAAAAAATTGATTTATTACTGGAAAAACCATAAAAACAGCCCTTTTCTATTTCCCATACAAATGTTTTTTTGACATTAGATTTGACAACTAATATGTCAATCATTCTGTCGCACTTCGAAACACGGAGATTTCTGGCTTACAGGTAAACTCCAAAAATATAAATAAAAAAACGTAATAGATATTTCTTGATTAAAGTTCGCCAGGTCGCCTAGTTAGTAATACATATATGTATAGCTGACCGGGCGAACTCTATTCCGTCCTAGAGGCCATAAATAATCAGGTTTTTCCTGTTTCAATCGAACAGAATGATTGACATATTAGTTAGTTGTCAAATCTAATGTCAAAGAAAACATTTGTATGGGAAATAGAAAAGGGCTGTTTTGAGGGTTTTCCCGGAAATGAATCAATTTTTCTCACCTTTTATACCTTCCCTGAACCTCCACGAACATTTCAAGACTAAGATAAGATAAATCCGTTCAGCTGTTCTCGAGTTTTAGCGAGACTAAGGAACAGCAATCCATTTTTATATATATAGAAGAAGAAGATAGAAGATTACGACTAAATCCTTTCATACTTACTTTAAGAAACATATATCACAACGGTATATTTTTCTTTCTTCTATAGGTATGTGAGATTTCGCATGGGATTTCAAAAGTTCCTTTGAATTAAAGAATTTATCACAAGAATTACAATTAAACTTCCTTTCTGACTTTGGTATGTGTCTTAATTTATGTTTGGCCATCGCAGCTTCAGACTTTGATATTCTTGGACATTTATCACAACTGAAATAGGAAATAACAAATAATCCTAATAAAACTTTTGAACAGCAACATCAATACAGAAAATGTAAGAAAAAATTAACAGTTTATAAAAGTATGGTTTTAACAGAAACTTTTACACATCCCAAAAGTAGCAAGTTTTTAATTTCGTTAGTAATTAATAATAATTTATTTTTGCAATATAATTTTAATTACAATGTGAGTGACCAGTGCATCTTATTAAGGAGGAAATGATTTCATTAGGACACCATGCTCTTTCATTTGATTTAACCATACTTTTGAGTTTTGAAACAATTTATGATATACTTATATATGAAAATTCTTAAATATACATTACTACTAAAAAAGAATATATTATTTATTTCAATTATATAATATATACAATTAATTTATTTATTCTTTATTGCATAAAAATGAACAAAAAGCGGTGTTAACGCTAATAGCATTCTCTACTAGTCAACTTTACTAGTGCAAAAAAGAACTAGTTGCCACAAGTATAAGGAATAATAAAATATCTTCATACCATATCACATCAGGATTTTTATGATCCTGTACATGTTTGTACAATACTGATTTGGACTTAAGACTAACTCCACACACACATCGGACCTCCGGCTTGATCCTGTGAATTCTTTCACAATGTGCCTTCAGTGTGTACCAACTTGAACACTCTCTTTCACATATTAAACATGTAAACCTGAAAAAATTTTATATATATTTTTTATTTAACATATAAATGTAAATAGAGAATAATTCTTTTTAATAAACATCTAATTATTTGAGAAATGCGAATGTTATTTTCTCTTTTAAATAATAGTTTTGATTCCATTGATCAAAAGATTCTGAGTCTTTAAACCCAGTATTAAATGGAATTGTCATGCTGAGTTTTTCATTACTTCGATTAGTATAAATTCACAGTAAAGTTATTTCTTGAAAATGTAACAAAAAAAATATATGGGTACACTAATTAACTATCTTTATCACTAGACTATTCAACACTAAACACTGGCATGCTATTAGTAATCAAGGCTCAATCAATATCATTTAAAAACTAATTTACAACTGCGTTAATTTATTGAAACTTTATTCAAGAAGAGTTTCAAATTTTGAAATTGAAGGAATAATATATAATTTTGTACTCACTTAACAAAATCATGGATATTATAATTGGAGTACTTTTCATTCTGTTGTTCTGTTCCTATATCTGTTTTTCTATACTTCCTTGCTTCCTCCTTATGTGTGGACACGTGTCTGTATAAAGCCGTCTTTGTTCTTATAACATATCCACATATACAATACAAGTATGGCCTCGTATTGTGTATATTATAATAATGACACCACAAAGCCGTCCAAGTCTTCATATAATTTTCACATTCTTCACATTGTAATCTAAAATTTCATATAATATTTAAGAAATTATAGTAATAAAAATATATGTCTAAAATAGTATCTCAGCCTTTATCTAACAAATTTAAATACATGTATTGTAAAACAGTAATTGGTGGATTACACCTACAAATTCATTAAGACATAAAATTGGAACTAAAAATGTAATTTTACTGGTTTTCTTTTTCGAAGAAATATCCAGTCAGTAATAAAATAAGAAAATTATTTTTTATATTAATTTAATACCTTGTTTGATTGTAATAACAAAACCTCATTTATTATCAGTGAAAAAAATGGATAGTAAGAATCAAATAATATTTTTGTACTCTGTCTACTATATACTAGACAACATTTAATTAATATACTATTGTAATTTCCTTCAGAGGGGTAAGACACCACAATGGATCGGTTCCTTTTGATAAGTCTCATAGAGTACAGAGATAAACACACAAGTAAGGTACTTTGATACATTTTTACGCATTGCAAATAGATTATATGATAATTAGCTATAATTCTTACAATTATTTTTTTTTTTATTATAAAAATTACTTTCCGTATACTTACTTGACAAAATCTTTTATAGTCAGGTGTCGTTTTTTTAAAACATTTTGAAATATATTGGCCTCTTCCTCCGTTAATATTTTATTTTTCTTTTCATCCTTAGCCTCCTTCAGTGTGGCCAGTGCTACATCACTCAAATCACTTCCAACATCACTATCATATGTATCATTATTTAAGTCACGACCCTGGATTTCAACTAATAAATCATTACTGTTCAGTTCCCCTAAAATTATAATTTATTTATATATAAGAGGTATATAATATTTCTTTATTAAATATTTAAGTTAAACTTACTTATCAATTCATCAGCTTGTAATTCATCTTTAATCTGTAATATTATTTATATATTGTTATTAATAAGGATAAAATTTTAAAATTTAAACTATACAATTATTAAAACCCTAATTTAAAAATTATACACATTATTTTAGTGCAACGAGTATGCTATATTGACCACAAAACATTTAATTCTAATATATAATTAAATATTAGAATTTCTTTTAGCTTTGAACACAAACACACTTTGTTCAACTGTTGACATACATTTTGTTTATTTTCTTTTACAAGACTTTCTTTTCATTTACTTTCATACTAATAGTTAAAATATTTTAATTAATTATATAACTTACTTCAGATTTAATTTCTGGTAAGGTATATGAATAATTATCACTCCTTTGTTCAACTTTTATTATAGATTCATCACAAACATTATCTATGACCATTTGTTTTAAAGTTTCCTGTACTTTCAAACACTCCACAACAAAAAGTTGGAAAGATGTAACTTTTTCTTCGCAGTTTATACAAACTTTAGATGGTAAGTCATCATTATTATTAATCTGCAAAATAAATATAATTGTAAATATTCATCAATAAACATTTTTATAGACATGCAGACATTTTATTAGGATTTACATTTTATATCACAATGCAGTGTCTCGACAATTGCAACAGAAAAGAATTATGACACACAATTTTAAATATAATATTCTTGTTTCACTTTCAGAATAGAAGATAGGTGTATACCATCCAATAAAGATTAAAATATATACAAATATAAATAAAACATAAAGTAGAGTAAATTATATCAGAAGTTTAAATATTTTCCATGGCTTTTCCATTTCACACATTAAATTCATAACAAATTTACAGAAAAGCAAAGAAAATCATATACATTAAGCCTGTAAATAGTTTACTCAGTACTCACTGATATTTCTATGTATCCTAGAACCATTTTGAGAACATTATGATTGGCGGTATCTAACAAATCTTTGGAAAACTCATTTTTCCTGGCACATAATCGACACAAGTCTTTAATATTAAAAGCCATTTTATTTTTCTGCCTCTTCTATTATTTATTTAAAACATTATTTTGCTATTAACTTTATTCATAATTTTATGCAACACATAATTTCGTGTCATGTAAATTCTTATAATAAAAGTCGAGAAAACAAATTACTTTACAGTAAAATATAAAAGAAAACAATACAACACTTAACAATTCAGAGGACTTTTTTAGTTATTTAGTACCACAGAGCATACTAAGATTTTGAAGGCGTCTGTCATCGCATCCTAAAATATAATTTACTTAATTTAATAGGGTATTAAAAAGCGATGAAAAAAATTATATATAACAAAATTTTAATCATATAATTAACGAAGTATTCATATAACTATACAAATATTACCAAAGGGGAATTATCTACATCTTACGAAATGAAAAATTTCTACACGTAATAGTTGTTACTTCTTACTCTTTATAATCTGTATATCGTGGCTTCTCATAATGTTGCTCAAAGTGTAACGTAAATAATTTTCATATAAACTATAACAAAGCTCAAAAAATAATTGTAACAACGAATATACAATTAAGGTACTGTAGATATATATTGAAATGAAGTTCAAGAAAACAAAACTAAAACAATGTAGAATAAGATGTTTAATATGCTAAAGCATAAATATTCATCCCTGTGAGTTCGGAATGAGAAGAAATGAAGAAAAAGAATTTAATAGTTAGCGACTACGAAAAAGAGATTCACTCTCATCTAGTTAATCCCTTTAGCCCAGGATTATTTTTTAAGATGACCAACCTAGATGACGACAGTGGATACCAAACATCATATACTCCGAATTCTTTTGAAGATTCAGAAATTTTTGAAGAAAATTTAAACCCCACTGCAATAAGCATTGACAATATTTTATTTACTGGACAATTTATAACATTATCGAATCAAGTTAATAATAACAGTTCTACATTTCTCACGCCAAATAAAAATGATCGAGAAAGTCCACAGAAAAGAAGAGGTACCAAACGATTGTTCCCAGGAGCTTCAGAAGTTACAGACCTTGGATATGTCTCCACTCAAACTCCTACGACATTGCTATCAGGTGGCCTACATAGACTGAAAGTTAATGATTCAAATAGAATTAATTCTAGTTATTCACCAAGTAATTTAGTCAACTGGGATGATAATATTCTAAATGACAATTTACTTAAATCATTTCCAACAACACCTATAAAAAAATCTTGTAGGAGTAATTGTAAAATTAACAACCATTTACATCAGAATGGACTAGTGAGACACCCTGCTTCTGAAATACATTCGATTTTTTGTGAACAACGAGCTTTGCAACCAGTTCTGAAAACCCACCCAAAGAATTGTGCTTGGATTAAAAAATATCCATATGAAAAACATCAAAAATTTGACATCATAAAAATTTTATACAATGATGGTAATTACTTTCCTGTTTTAAAGAAGATATTTGGTTACTTATCATGTGAAGATTTATACCAGGTCACTTTAGTGAGCTCTGTGTGGCAAAAAGCTTGGGTTGCTGTCAATTACAAACATTTTGAAAATCCAGAGTATAAGAAATATATAAGATCCTTACGAGAAAACCAGGAAAACAATATTGAAAGAGGCAAAGAGGTAAAACATAAAACCTCAATCGATCACAGGTCCAAAAACTCAATAATATGTGAAGTAAGCCCACCAAGAACTCCAAGGAGTATCCGTTTTGAAGTATTCACAAAAGTAAGTTCTACTATATTTTGAAATTCCTTTTCTTTCTATCTTCTGTATCTCCACACATAAATCTGATATTCTACAGGCAGCCGCAATGGATTCGAGAAAGCAGTTACGATGTCTACGATGTCAGTATCCAGCAAAAACTACAGAAGAAGGAGAAATGTTGGTCGAGTGCACAAGCTCAACCTGCGGCTATCAATTCTGTGGGCTGTGTAAGTACAGCCCACATCCAGGTAAGAGCTGCAATACATACTGTGATCTAGAAAAACCCAGTCCACCCAAAAGAAAGAAGAGCACCTTTACCATAGGCTCCAAGAAAAGCAAAAAGAATCTAAGGAGATTAGTTAATAATTTCTGTTAATTTTTTAATGCCAGTGATTTAATTTAGGATAATGTTTTTCTTGCATTCCATATCCAAAGATATGATGATTTTTGAAATCATTTCATAAGGTTAACACGAATTAATCTTGAGTTATAATGTGGGGTATCCCAGAGTTGTGCCATTTTTTTTTTCTTTACTAATATTCATTAACATAAAAATTCGTGAAAATACCACCTTTCAAATGTATTACCGTATTTAAATGTGCAGTTTCAATAAAGAAAAAGATTATTAAATTTCTACATATTAAACATTGTTGAATTATGATTCATTTTCAATAGTAGATGGTGAAACTGCACAGTTATATATTAATTGAATCTAGAAAAATCATTGTTGTGTGCCTTACTCGATAAGTGTCTTATTCTATGGACTAGATGAATGTAACAGACTGATTATTATTGCCATAAACAATAACTTAAGGTAATGTCTTTATTTTAAGTTTTTCCATGTCTAGTGTATAGGTTTATTCATCATTTTAATATCAAAATTTAATACCTGTCACATTTTAATTAACCCCATGCAGTACAAATAGATAGAACCAGAGACTGTGATACTTTGGCTAACATTACAAACATTGTTTTAACAGTTTAAAAACATCACTTATGTATATTATACTATTTTAAGTTATTTTTGATACTCTACAGAACAATTGTATAAATTTATTTAGTTATATAAAAGGATGAGACATTTTAAAACTGATGATATTGGAAACAAATATTAAATTATTATTTTATAATTTACAATGGACATTTTGTTAATATGTATTGGTATAACAAATTTAATCACAATTTTAATAGTCTCTCTATATTAGGTTTATAATATTTGTTGAACACTGTCACATATTAGTTTTAATATATCAATTTCATTCTCTTTTGCAAATTGGCAAGCCATATATTTAAATACTCTTTTAATTTTAAATATATCTAGTCTGTTTATAATAGAATAAAATTTGAATCCATGTGTCATTTTATAACTGCTTTAAGTTTTAAATGTGACTCGAAACACTAACACGGTATTGGCTGTTCAAAAATTAAGAAACCTGTCATGACATTTTGTCCCAAATTACTAATGAGAAATCTTGTTCCTCGGAAACCTGTTTTTTTTTTTTAATGAGCAGCAATACCCGGCCATGGCACTGTGATTACAGCCTGTATTCACATTAAATTATATCTTCATTTTAATATACTGTAAAATGATTCAATCAATTTTATTTCCTTCAATTACTTTAAATGCTCAATAGGATCACTTAATTTTATTTTAATACTCCATGACAATTAAACTGGTTTGGGACCAAAACCTTATTGTATTGTATGTAAATAATTAATTGATAAATTGTAAACATTTTTTTTTCTTTTATTAAGAAACGAAGTCATTTTAATGTATGTTTATAAATTAATTTTTGTGTAGTCATTACTTTATTCTAATGATATTTAAATGAATGACCTCTGTGTATTTTAGAAACAGAAGCGCTGGGCAATTTTAGTATTGTATGATAACTTCATATATGAAAATCTCAGTGAGGCAAAATCATTTTTAATGTTGTTGTATATATTTTAGTTTCTCAGTACTTTATTTTAGTGGATCAATTCTTGTAAGATACTTATAGTTCATTATACTTATTTATTTAAAAGTAACCAAAGGGTTACTTCAAAAAGGTATTGATTCAGCCGATTAACAATTACTGGTTATTCGATTGATGCCTTTTTCAGTATTGGTCCTTAATAAAAACTTGGAACCAATTTTACCAACTTAAAGTCACTGCGAAAACTTAAAATTAAATTAAATAGCATTTCCATGTATAATAGTATTTCAAAATTAATCTATATGGTAACATCGAAAATTAATATAACAATTAAAGTGTAAAAAAATAATAATTGAACTTTGTCAATTTTCCAGTAAAGATGAAAATAATCAGCAAACAATCTCAGATTCATGTCTTTTTTATCATTTTTGACCGTACACTTGTTAAAAATATCAGTGGCTACCTCACATCTGTCGTGCTATAATTGCCTGGTGGTGTTTTTTTTGTTTTCGCGTTGGGTCGTTCTACGTACTGCTAAATACTAACCAAGGACTCTCAGAGGGACTGTATTTTGTCTACCTCATTTGCATTAATTAATGTTATCCTTGGTCGTAGGTAAGATATTTTAATTTAATCTCATTCAGTTGCCGATACAAGCTTATTTCATAAAATATTTCTGCACAGATGCAAAAGGAAATTTTATTTTTTTATTACAATACGTACCTACATGATATGAAATAAGTTTGCTATGTGACAAATTTAATTTTTAATCACAGATGATGTCTTTTAATTTTTTTTTAATATATAATTATTTAAATAATGTTTAATTCAAGAAATGAGTTTGCCAGGTTAGGTTAAAATTTTATTTTTTTAAATATTTCACAATAATACCGAAATTATTTGAAGGATTTTGTTTTCACAACAATTGTATCCATTTGTTTTGATTGTATGATGATAATGTATATGACATAGTATTAATTAAAATTAGTGAACGAATGCTTAAAAAGCTCTCTTTTTTTTACTTTTTATAAAAATAAAATGTGGAAAATGACGATTTGTTTTATTAATAATTCAAAGACAATACACTTATATAGTTATTTAATTACACAATTTACAAAAGATATTTACAAAAATAGAAAAATAGGATCCATCTTCATCGTTATGATTTCCGAGCTAGTGATATATTAAACTAACCTTACAATATATCTAAAAGATAAAAAAATATATAGAATTGTCAATTTACTTAGACTTTAGATGTCATAAAATAGTTTTATTTAAATTATCTTTGATCTTTCTTCGGATAAGACGGTGGTGCCTCCTTGTTGACTACGAGTTCAGTTCAACCCAATCCCATCACGAACTTTGGTATTTGATACGCCACTTGCGGTATTTGCATTAACATTGACATTCTGTAAATAGGAAAGAATGCTTTTGTTGATAATAATAGAGGGAATTATATATAATAAAGTATAACATTAATACATATTTTCTAAATTTTAAATAATTCCGTATGATTATGAAAAGAATATTTTTGTTGGATTAGATTGTTCTTCGTCCATAGCATAAAATTTTACAGTATACCCCATAAGTATACTTCACACAAGTTTCTTATTTTTCATTAATAGAAAGACGTTACCTATAATAGAAATCACAAAAAAACAGTGCACTAAAAGAATTGAATGTTAATATTTAAATTATCCATATAAGAATCAAATTTGATCCTTGATTGAATTGAAAAATTATTATTAATTTTATTATTGCGGATGCCATCTTAGTACTCTTTATTGCAAGTTAAAGAGTGAAACTATGCTTTTCCATTTGACCAGTCCAAAATATAGTTGTTAAAAAATAGCAGAAGCAAAAGAAAACATGCATTATTATTACATATATTTGTTGTATGTACATATTATTGAGTAGTTAAACGTTAGTAACAGAATCTCTTGCACCAACCTTTATCCTTGGGCACCTAAAATAGTTTTCCACCACCATTAAACTTGAGTTACACTAGGTCTGTGAGACAAAGAATATTTTAGAATTTTTCATTTAAGCAGAAATTATAGGTTTTTTAAATAATTATAAATAGTTCTAATAACATTAGCTGACGGTAAACAATTTTTGCACCAGATATACATGATTATCATCAAGCCTCCAAGAACCTCTAGCAAAGACGATTCGATAGATCATTTATCTATTAGAGATATATATAGGGTATGTACAGAAGAATGATTTTAGCATCTATAACAATTTTAGCAATAATTAGATAAAGTGGGTCGAACAGCTCTTGATTAATATTTTTTTAATTAATAGGAAGCGGATAGTATTTATATTTGAAATCTATACATTATTTAATATAATAAAACTCACGAAACAGACAATCCGTTATAGAACCATGCGCGCCATGTTTGCGGCGCGGGCGCACCGTCAATGCGCGCCTCAATATGTCCACAGAGCACGCGCCTGTCGTGCGAGCGACCAGACCGCGCGTCACACACGAGCCGCTTCCGACACTCGCCGTCACACATACCACGACGTGGACTGCTTTTCCAATAATGTCTGCAAATATAAATATCCAATTATATTTGATAATTATTAATTACAAACTTATGTATGCCAATTTTGATGTTATAAGCCTAAACCATTACCTCCCTCTGCGTAAAGACCTATTCAACATACCAATGAAGGACAAGACAATAACTTCGTCAGTGTAATAACCTTAATATTAAAAGGGTAATCTAGGGGGCAATCAAATTACCTCGTACGTTAAGTAAATCTGTGTTGTAAGTGTTTGATTCTCACACATTTAATATGTATTAGTTATTAATAAAGCATCTAAATAAATAGAAACTAACTTGTAATATAAATTGAAGACGTCTTCCTTGGTGGTCATATCGTCTATGAATTTGTCCCAGTCTTGAGGGCGTAGAGCCGGCATCATGTAGGCGGAGCGCGCGGAGTACAGCTTATACCATATCGGGTATCCGAACAGATTAGCCTCCTTCAAGTTCATTATCCAGGTTTCGTGATCGACTACTAACTGAAAACAATAGGCGCCATATTTTCTTAATGGACAATTGATATCTATTTGGATGAAATGAAAAATGTCTGTAGTTGTGCGTTCACCCTAAGAAAACTATGTATGTACTTGAATTAATAACTTTAATGTCAAAGAAACTTGGCTTTAATCTATAGAAAATGTTTTATAACTTAATTTCATAAACAGTTATTAAAAAATGGGGAAACAATTTTGGAGATTTCATAACACTAAAGGTTCAGTGCTAGGTTCTTTTTTTTTCAAAGACACAAAAGAAGGCTTGAAAATAGGATTGCTTGAAGGGATAAGTCGAGAGTTCACAAAAAACGAATTTTTCCCACATTTCAGATTATATCCATAGGTACATTTTAATTAGGTTAATCGATAAGTATGTTTGCTCTTTAATTAACCTTCTTAATTAGATGTAGTCTGTGACTTACTATATATCACTAACAATTATAAAGTAATTAAGATTAAAGAAACAGATTTACGTACACGTATGACATTTGTTATATAATGAAACTCACCCGTGTTGTTGCTTCGTGATCACCGTCCACATAGTAAATCCGATATCCGAGATTTAAATCGTAATACGGCGAAACTGACGGACCGACGTATGCTATACTCGTCGCTCTCCCTGAAGACGTTAAAAAAGAAATATATTTTTATATTAAAACATTTATTACTTTTGCATTCATTCATTAAATTAATGAGATATATACAAAATATTGTGTTATTAAGAAAAAAAATGGTCAGGTGAAATGAAAGGAAAAGTATGTAATAATTAGAGACAAACCTAAATCATTCGGATCATAAAAAACTTCAAATTCATCGTAATGTGTGTGTCCGAAGAACTGAGCTGTTATCGTTGACTCATAACGATTGACGATCGCATAATAGTTTCTGCTCCAGACCTTGAGACAGTCCGAATGCCCGGGCGGGATGTGACCTATCAGATGGACCTTTTCACCGCTAAACTCAGCCGTTTGCAATTCGTAAATGAGCCATTGAAGTTCCGTTGCTGGATCTGTACTATTGAGCAGAAGCCACCTGTAATAAAAAACGCAATATAATATAAATACCTTTCAACTGTATTTGAAACGTCTAAAATTATTATTCATGGGAGTGTTTTCTCTTTTACAGTTTATAGTGTTATTGGATGTTATAAAATTGAAATCTTAACGATAGATCATAGAAAATTATTCTAGCCATAAAAAACTATAAATACATACGTAAATATAAAATTAATAATTATAAGGGAGAGTACATATTTAATGTTTTACATATCTACTTTGAATTCAATAGGTAAATATTGAAATTATAATGACTTATTTTGTCATAAGAAGTTTATTCAACACTTAAAGTTTGAAAATATCAGGTCTAAGCTTAAGTAAACTAAATTTATAAATAGTCTGTGACAACTAATGGAATCGTTCGACTATGATTTTAAAAGGAGTTTTTTCTTTGGGACACTGGTATTTTAAAAATTATTCATTTATTAGACTGGATAGTGCATCATTGTCATTTTAAAAACTAAGGTTGTAAATTTTATTTTAATATACTTAGGTTATAAGTATGAATTTTTGTTTTTTAAATAAGTTAAATTTTATCTCACTTATAATAAAGAAAAAAATATATATTGTTATAGATTTATTTTCCATCTTAATAAGTACCTACACGAAGTCAAAGGTCTGTCCAGTTATACTGAAATGAAAACTTAAGCAATTATTTCGTAAAATTTAATAAAACTGATATCCAATTACACTTGACTTTAATCGAATTCAGTTTATCATAGATGTCATAAAATCCTTTGAAACGCCTTTCGAATTCGTTACGGTTCAAACACCGTTGTGGCCTAAATTTAGCGCATTATACCTATCGATATATATACTTTATTCGAATCCCGTTGCAATTTTAACTGATATAAAATAAGAATCATAAATATAATAAGATATACGAAACCCAAAACACTATTATATTTCGTTTAGAAGCTGATAAACATAATTACTAATTAAGCATTTCTCTAGTATTCGTATCTTAGTGGTCTATTTAAGTGCTTGCTATTTTTGCATAAATATGTAAGACTAGCAATATGAGAGCATCTTTACCAGTTTTTATTGTTGCAGTAATTCATATTGAGCGAGATGATGCGGAATCCAGGTCGAACGAGTACAGAGTAGAAGGCGCCGCGTCGAACAGTGTGAGACACTCCCGCGGGCAGCCAGCGACGCCATTGGGCGTCCAGCTCATTGTACAGCCACGCCATGTTAGACTCCGGTGATGAAATGAATGGAGGAGGAAAACTAGAAAAAATATGAGTGAAAATTAAACCAATACTTCAAGTCTCTCTTTAAAATGTGCTCTACTATTAGATTCATTTTGTACTACTAGTCCTACTACAAAACATAAAAGTCATAGAAAGTATAGAAAGTATAGACGCGATAAAAATTGGAAACAAATTTTATTTAATCACCAATTGAATTTACAGGGTGTGGCAATAAAGACCACAATAGCCCAAAACTGGCCACGCTTCATTTGTTCAGGAGCTTTATTCAAATATATCATACTTATTTAACAGTATATTAATTTACCTGTTCACGGGTGATGACTCGTGGTTCCCGAGTGCAGGAAAGATCGGTACTCCAGGAAACATATCTGACATCTGCGCAACGGTCTCCTGTAGAACTTTTAAATTTTCTTCCTTTGTTTGATTCCATACGTCATGCGGTGGTAAGTCTCCTGTCCATAGGATGTAGTCTATATCCTATTCCACAGAAAATATTAGTTACTGTGTGCATAAATAGTCAATTACTGGATTATAAAATATGGAACATGTTGAGAAATACGACCAATATAATGTAATTTATAGAACCATTATAACGATAATTACAGGATGTGTGTTAGCTATATGTTGTAACATGTCATCTATTGTTCGTTTCGGAGTATCACACTTGCGGTAATCGCCCCAACGGCCAGCGCCGTCGCCAGGAGTTAAGGCTGGACCACTTGATGCCCGACAACAAAGAGGCTCATTGCATTCTGCATTGGCTCCTAAAATAAGAAGATATATCTTTTATTCTAATACTCCTTTTATATAATGTATACCAAAACAATATGTTTTCAATAATACCTTCAGCGTAATAGGGATCGAAATGTGTGTCTGATATTTGAAGTACTTTGAATGTCTGTGCCTTATCATCAGGTACTTTTAAAGGCAGCACAGGTGGCTTAGGAACTGGAGGGAAAGTAACTTCCCATTCATGATAGGGATTGTATACATCGCCACAAGCATCACCGATTACAAAACTACATATTTCGTTTGGTCCTAAGGTTATGCGTTTCAAAACGTACACTACTTCGCTCTGTAATCATAATTTTCACATTACATTTCATACATCATAGAAGTGTAATAATCACAATGCCATCAGTTTTATTACATACTTACACCAAACAATCTAGTGATGCCTTCACAAACTCTTGCAGACTGTATGTTTAAAGAGACACAAAACTGATAGATCATTTTATTAATTTCATCTTTGCTTTTACCCAATCTCATGTAGTGTTGCAGTAGTCCCGCTCCAGCTTTACACGCTGTACAAGATACTTTAGACATAACAGAGTGTTCGACCTCATAGTACACCTGTTTCAGGTTTAATAATTTCAAAGCCTTGTCCACAAACAGAGGTAAATTGGAGCTTTTGTCACTGTCCCACAAAAGCCGTGAGTAGTTCCGTTTTAAGGCAACCATGTGAGCTATAAGTTCTGTTTCATTTGCAGATGGCGGAAGTTTGTGTGTGAAATTTGAAGGATTAAAAAATATTTCGTCGTTTCTTGGGGTATCTGTCCAATTCCAGGTATCCATTGGTTGTCTCCATTTTATAACTGGTTTAATATTTCTTCCACTTTGTTGTAAAAATAGAGGATTACCTGCAGATGATAATATTATTTACAATTATACTACAAGTTAATTATCCTATTCAATCGTCTTACTTATCATAAATAGTTGGGTAAACGATTATTATCTATACGGCTTTGTAAGAGAACGTTTTAACATTGTAGTATCTGTTTGATAACTGCCAGGGACTTGAATGTATTGAATTGTAAATAAAGTAAAGATGAGATGGGATAGCAATTAACAACAAAACAAAAAATGTTATTAATATATAATTTAGGTACATTTGAATGCTCTACTTGCCTGATATCGTCGATATGAATAGTAAAGTCAGCAGATGAAAAAGCCATGATATCCTTATGATCATAACTAAACAGTATAGTCTGAAACAATAGATTATTGTAAGTTAAAAAAAAAACATAGGTGCTTCAAAAGGATTCTTCTTATATAAAAATTATACAATACATAGGAATGCTGGGAACAGATTAATATTTAAGAAATATAATATTCATACTTAAGTTGTTCTAGAATTAAAGATGTATACTGTCAAAACTTCATACATAAGGTCAAACGATATGGTCTATATAACTCGGCCAGAGAATCTTGACGTGTAATTGGATATTTCAGTCAGTCAGTGTCTCATTCGTATAGGTTAAGAGTTCATGTGAGGCACAGGTTACAAAACAAACCTCCATATCCCGTACAAAGCCAAAGTAGTAAAAATAAAAAACGTATATTTAAAAATCATATTAAGTGGAATCTTTTATATCTAGAAAGTTATAACAATATTTTTATGACAAAACGATAATAAAATGTCGCGTTAAGTCTAATTTCAATGGGATAAGCTATAAAAATGTCATAAAAAGCTTATTCCCAAAATCGTTCAAATATAATTGTATGTATATTCCTAGTGAAAGTAGGTCACATCTTGTTGGTCTCGGGGATATCTCTTGTAAGAATACATTTGATTGTAGATGGTACCTAAGTTCAACGAACTGCATTAATCCGTTTTTGAATTAAATAAAATTTACACATTGAACATTGTGTAGTTCCGACTAGATTTGTGTTTGATATTTTTTTTTTAAAGCCTTATTCAATTAAATCAATAAATAACAAATACAAAAGGACAGAATTCCAAGTCTTTTCCTGTAAAGGATATACCTATTGTTTATTATTCCGATCACAATAACATGATCTACATTTGTATAAATAGCATTCTTTTTAAGTTAAAATTTCTTTCAATGTGCTACAATAGTCACAATAAGGAGTCACTGCATACATTTAAACAGCCATATTTGACTACAACACAAGTAATATTTTTATTATACTCTTTGTTAGTTTTAAGTTTAGTATAAACTTTTGAAATTCTAAAATGTCATAAAAAAAACACGTAACCTCAATATTTTTAACTGTATATAATTCAAACAAAATATCAGCACATAAAAATTGTTGAAATCAAATGATTTGACATTATGATTTATATTTGGCGTGAAAGTTTCTAGAAAGCTTTATAAATACAACGAAAAGGTTGAGATTCCTTCGAAAGCAAGCTAAACAGGCGTTGTATTAGAAAAAAATCTTTTTGGAAATGTTACGTACAATATTATTCGATAAGATCCACCAATTAATAGTTATATTTAATATGTGCCTTTTTCCTTGTGAATTTCTCACAAAATCAAAATATACATAGAGTTAAAAAAAAATGTGTATAAAGATTCAGATGATAATATTATATATTTATTATTCATGTAGATTGTAGATCAATATAAAGTATCTAAACTTGAGTTCCATTCAGAAGGATATTAGAACGAAAACATATTCGATTTTTTCTGTTTACCGGACCACGTTTCTCACCAATTAATAGATTTTGGAACAAAATTGGTTAATTAAATTCTCAGAAGGTGCTTTTACATATTATGCCATTTATGAATCAGTTATATCGCGAGTACGGATGTGGAGGTCGGCAGTCGGTACTTTCTCCTCGCTTCATTGACTCTGTTGGAAAGAAAGTGACTGTGATATCGCACGTTTTGCACTTCGGGAATCCTATGAATTATTTAAATTGGAGAGCTTTAAAAATTTAACCTCATTAAATGAACTTCTTAATTTTAAAATTTTTTACTTATGACGTCAGCGATTTTTTTCTTCTTTTAGGTCTTTTATTTTCTGCAAAAAACATTCTGCACATTTAACAACAAACAATTACAACGACATATCATAAAAAAATATTCCTTTAAATGTTTTAATTTAATTCATAACATACTTTTATTGTTTTTAAACAATATTCATATAGTTTACTAATTTTTTTATGCCTATTTAAAGACGCAAGTGGAAAAGGTCGATTCCTTTTATATTAAAACAAAATATTAATGGTAATGATACGAACGATTAAGTGAAAACATGAAATACGCTACTTGTCGTCAGGCACATTATTATTCAATAATACTTCTGAGTAGTTTATTCAATATTGTGAATAACTGAATTAAATTTTATAATTAATATAAAGAAACGAGGGGATCTTATTTATACAATGCAAGCATAAAAGTATTTTTACATTTTTACTAGGTAAGATACCTTAAATTTCAATATATCACCCTTGTTTATCACTTTTGTTATTCAATACCCCCGTCCTATAGAATATAAGTGTATAAATAAAGAATTGACTTCGGTTATCTTTTTGTTCGTGGCAATTTCCCAGCTATAGCCAGGGTCTGCATTACATGTTGTAAATAGTTTTGGCTAATTGTTTTTACGACCGGCCGCCTGCTCGACATCAACCCTCTTGGGAATCAACTCTCTTTTGGTAATAATTGACTTCGGTTATATCTTCAAATAATCAGAATCTCTACATCAGAAACGAACGCAGTTGATAATCTATCACATACACGAGTAACTTGTACCGCAACCGCTTACCGTAACATTTGATTGTTGTTTCCAAGTGGACTGAGACAATTACGTTCCATTACAATTTGTAGATTTAAAATACAATAGGTACATACCTATAGCATTGTAATAAAACATCTGTAAGAACATAAATTACATATACTGCTATACCAAGCTTTAATAACAAGAAGCTATTTTGTAATTACTTGCTTGGTAATAAAACTATATATACGTGTTTGAGGAAGTTTTACATAAATAAAGTTACCTATTTATTATATGTAAATCATTGAATACCATCCTTAAAGATTACATAACTAATAGGATTATTCATTGGAATTACTTTCATCCGGCGTCTTGCCAACAGAAAATCAAAATTACTTGTCATCCACTTTCACTTTAAACATTATTTAGTGCCTTCTGTGGTCCTGGTTAAGTAATGACCATGATTCAGACTTATGACTCAGGGATATCCAAAAATTACACCTATAAAATTCTCATCATTTTAAAGTGATATTGCAAAAATTTTACTTAACTTATTTTTAATGTTTGGTTGAAGAAAAGTTGCGATTTAGTAGAGGGCAGTTTAGGTACTTTTATTTTAAAAAGAAATTAATTTATTGGATTACTGATATTGAAACTAAATTTAAATGTTAGTTTAGTAATAAGTATCGGAATCATTACGCAGTCACAAATTTAATATCGATTATTGAACAAAATTAATCATTCTGCAAAACTAAGAAAAAAGTTTTAATATCCAGTCCGGAACAGTTCACGTGGACTATCTTTCACCGCCATCCATCTCGTTAAATCTCTAGTGAAAATAAACTTGCTGTTTTCGCTTCCTATTCTAGTTTAGATTTCTAATATAGGTAGCTTGCTATGTGACAATATGGCTCTATCTTTTGCAATTAAAGATATCATCTTTATTTATACTTATAAACCTACGCCCAATATGTGCTTTTGCTGCCTTTTATATAATATGTCATTATTTTTATTATACCAATGATAATAATTATGAGTAAATTATGCTATAAAGAGAATAAGTTTGAGCGATAGTACTTAGAAGTAATGTGGCATGACGAGTATTTAGAAAAAGAAATGATTTTGTTTCAATTTATAAGAAAGATGTACATATATTTTTTTCTTTTTCAGATGTGACATTTATCTATTTTACAATATAGCTTATAGTCACCACACGGTTCACTTAAGGTCAATGCCAAGTAAGTCATCTGTAAAGGGGCCAGCTCACGGAATAACGGACAAGGCTGCGCCAAGTGTTTTTCTAGACCTTTACTTGGCGCCAAGTTTAGAATTACTACCAGGTATAGTATTTAATAAGTCACAGACTAGCAACCTGGAAAGTTTCTAGAATTTTAATGAAAGTCTCTATATTTTTAGAATTTTTGATATTCATTTAATTCTAGACAGATAATTTATTGCGGATGATTAAATACATTTTAAATACTTAACAAATATTTTGAGATAAAGAATAAAAAATGGCTTTATAATTTATGTCCTTTACAATGTTTGGACTTTTTATATAAGTATCCAATAAAAAGAGTAAATTGTGTCACTATTAGAAGAAAACAAGAAAGAATATATTATCCAATCACGTCACTTGACTTGAGGTCCGTCCCATGATCCCTGCTGCATCCAGAATCCCTGATTGTAAATATCTACTTTCGTTTAGTTCATCGAACTCACTTTCACCTCCCTATAGCACTTCCATTGTCGTATACTCTCATCGGAATGCACTTCTATTATATTCGTTAGTCTACCACATGTTTCCCAACTCAATACAATACACCTTAACAATTCACAGCTTTTCCCAAACGTATTGTACAATGAATGTGGCATCAGAATTCAATTAGAGAGGTCTTTAAATTATCGTAAAATTTATTATCGATTAACTTATGCAACGGAAACATATATATAACATTACTACTATAACTGTTAAGTGTATTTTCCATTAAGAAAGCTTTAAAAGTATAATATATCTTTTTGATGATTAGATATTAAAGAATCACATAAAAATATATTATGACTGTACCGTCAAGAGTGGTATAAACGTTCGCAGATTTTCTCATTTGATATTCAATGCTCTGGACGCTCTGTCCAAGCTGTCTAATAAAGATCACGGTTCGTGTATTAATAGTGTAGTTACAATTCAGAACGAGGAAAACGTGTACCATCAGGATATAGATATTGTGATATTGTAACCTGAATACAAAGTGCCGTATTGTGCCGTAAACTCTGAGGTAAGATTTTTATAACATGTAAAGTATACTTCAATTAACAACTATTACCTTCTAACAATAAACACTACCGCATTCTCTTTACGGTCGAAGTGTCCGTATTCAATTATACGGCCGACATTATCTGTAGTATTTACTTTTATCAAAAAACTACACTTTCACTGACATTGGAGACGTCATAAATTAAAGAAATATTTATTTTGTTTGTCTTATCGAGCGTAAATCGCGA